ATTTGCGCGGCACATGTTGCACTGAACCCTATTTTCTTTTTTTGGAGTGATTCCAATCATATTTCAACCAATTGAAAACCATCATGTTGAACAGTTTACACCTGGCCACTTCATGCGTTTTCTCAGATCAGATTTCTCAAAACGATTCCATTTACACCTGGCCACATAAATGTGTTTTTGCAAAACGGATATATCAATTTCCGCGATATATACAGATTTAATGAAGTGCACGTCACCGAAAGCAACAGATTTTATTGATCATCGGCTAATCAGCAAAGACAGCAATAGGAGAGCGGCAACAGCCCTGGTAAGATCATTTCGTTTCTTTACTTTTACCGAAGATTGTGTGTTAAGCGTCTGCAACTTACTTTCACTTTGATTTGCGATAGATTGCGGCGCGTTGGCTTGATAGGCGTTCAGCTGCTCATCTGAGGTGATGCGTGTCGCAATATCGTCGTCATATCTGACTAAAATAACATGACATATAGCCTATAACACGCGTTTATTTTGGGGAGGAGTAAAATTTACACATGTGGTTCAACAACCAGATGCATTTACACTTGTCCAGTTTCGTCTGACCACCTCCTGAAGTGGTTTGAGCGATCGGATTCAAATCCGTCTCGAATGCATTTCGGGGGGGAATCTACACCTGGTCTTTTCACGATCAGATAGCTATCCGATCACAGAAAACGCATGAAGTGGCCAGGTGTGAACGGCCCCTGAAGGAAATAATACATTATTTATTGGCTTTCATATATCGGACACATTTTCTTATCGGGCCGATAGCGATAACTTAAAAAAACTAACATATATCGGCTGATACCGATATGGTGGCCGATATATATATATATATATATATATATATATATATATATATCTCGTGCATCCCTCAATTTGTGATTTCTTTTTTCACTTTATATCTATATATTCTATATTACATAATCAACCTTAGTTATTTCATAAACACATTGTTGATGCTGACAGTTATGCTATTTTTGTTTTTCATTCTGTGTTAAGCACTATATTTTCGTTTTTGGGAAGGTATCTCTTCTTATGTCTTCTCTTTCATTTTTTTGGCAAATCTGTAGCCTCATTTCTTAAATGAAATGAGTCCAATTTTTCAAAGCAACAAAAGATCTTGCCAGATTTACCTAAATAAGCTTTAAAAACAAAATAAATACATAAAAGTCAATAAAAAGAGGTTTTGTGTGTTTTAATTCCCCTTTTCAAATCATTCTTACCACTAAAGTTTGTCAAATCTACAAGTATGGATTACTTATGATGCTTGTCTTTGCAGACACCACCAATAAATCTGCATGTGACGAATCAGTACACTCAAATTTAGCCATTTATGGTAAAATTGATGAATAAAGACATTTTCACTGAGCAAGAGCCAAACATTCATGGAGGTACTGGGATGTTAATGGGATGCTCGAGTCTTCACTGCACTGGCCCATTTCCTGTCAGCATGGGGCAAACGTACACACACACATGGCATCATGACCCAGTTTTGCATCCAAACGCCAGACACCACACACACAGCTACAGTGGGTTAAAGAGTTTCCTTGGGTCAGGTTCACCCACGCATTGAAAAAAATCCTAAAATCCCTGTTTTCTGCTAAGCTGGAAATGGAGGCCAGTGCAATAACACACAATACAATCAGTTTTCAAAGGGTTTCTCTGAAAACAGTCTAACAATAATTCAGTTCAGTGTAAGATTAACCAGTGCATAATGATCAGCTATCTACAATATCTTATCAAATAGTTTAAGAAAATATCCGATTCAAAACTAATACCGATAACACTTTGAATGGTTGTTCTTTCAGAGTTTTAATTAAACAGATATACTCAGATTCATAATATGTACAATAATATCTATTATAATTATATTCATGTTTTAAATGGTTAAATATGTTGAACAGGTAACATATACTAATAAGATGCTAAAAATCAATAACTGTGAAATGTAAAGCACTCTGACCATTTTAGACTTATCAACATTTGTTTTCTTTGTAATATATTGAAGACTAACAAACAGTTAATCTGTAGAGTAAAAAATACAATATAATGTTGCTTTTAATAACAATATGTATTTTTGTTTGAAATCACATATTCAGCCACTATTGCTTTTTCACTTTTGACTGAATCCAGTATGCTAAGGATTCCTATTATTATTTCTATCATAATTTGGAACCAATTCTAAAAACAAATTTTAAAACCAAAAAAAAAAAAAATCCAATTTTGGATTCCAGCTAAACCAACTTAAACTATGCTTTAGTGGGACTTTCATGATTCCCAAAAGGATAAAATTCCACTGTAAGACGTCTGTAAAGATTAAAAATGTCTGTAAACACTGTAAGATTATTTCAGTTTATGCATTTTAAGTGATTATTATTTAACCCCATAAGTATGGGTCACAAATGATAAATAATGCGAATCCCAATCCTCCCTTGTGAAAATTAACCATGGTTTTATTATGGTAAAAGTGAAGTGGACTAACCATGTTTTTTTTTTTTTTTTTTTTTGCCAATTGATTACCATTTGTATTTGTATAACCACACAGTTTTAGTACAAATGCCATGGTTAAAGTATGGTTAGTGTAGCAAACCCATGGTTAATTTGTGGTTACCATGGTTTATACAACCATGTTTGTTTTTTTGGTCTTATTTAAAGCATGCTAATTTTCATAAGGGCTGTACACAATTCTAAAGCATTTTTAAGTATGGATGAACAGCAACAGCAGTGTTATAAGCCATATAGCCATATTATTATGTATTTAAAGCTCATTTCGCAAGATAATTTTAAATATTTGAAATATCAACATGCATTTTTCCCGGTCTTTTCAGTCACCGCTTCGTTTTGACACAGCAGTAGTCATGTGATAGACTGCCTTAGGCCTGTCAAATGATCCTTCTCTGATTAGAGATTATATGAGTAGCATCAGTGAAGACATGTATGTGAGTGACTGCATAATAACCGGTATGTAGCCTAATGTACCGCATCAGTGTGTGTCCTCCTCATCACGGCCTGCAGGGCTGAATCACACGCGTCCTGATGCGCAGGCCGAGCTCGCCCATTCACACTCACATATCCATACAAAAATAGCATATCACACGACTACCAAATCATACACAAACATCTCAGCCGTTTTCCGACCATCAGCATTTGCATTTGCATTCTATAAGCCTTGCGGTAATACATTAATTCTGTCCGGTGGCTCTCTGGAGCACATCTCAGCGACGGCGAACACACACAGTTAAAACAGCAGAGACTCAGAATAAAGCTATGCTTACCTAGAAAACAATCCGCCACGATGTGCCACAGTCCACAAACCTCAAATCCACAATCATGGTCCTACATATTTCTCATCGCGACCTCTCAGCATCAGCAGCCGTACAATAAAACGACAAGCTCCGATGATGCTGCGTAACACCGCCCTCCTTCTCCTGTCGGGATGATGCTGCGAAACCACGCCCCCTCAGGCTGTCAGAATGATGCTACGTAACCCCGCCCCCTTGTACTGTCAAAGTGACCTCATCACATTCACAGTTTACTCACTGCAGTCCTCTAGATAGATAGATAGATAGATAGATAGATAGATAGATAGATAGATAGATAGATAGATAGATAGATAGATAGATAGATAGATAGATAGATAGATAGATAGATAGATAGATAGATAGATAGATAGATAGATAGATAGATAGATAGATAGATGTGAAAAATGTTTACACCTTGTTTGCTGTTTTAAAATATATATATTTTTTATCTTATTAAATAGAAATAGAGGTGTGGTTGGGGGGGGGGGCTGATGCTATAATGGTGTATTGTATAAAATGGTATGGTGTAAAAATCAACAAGTTCAATAACAAACTAAATTCTTGCAAAAACCTTGATGTCAATGTTTTCATGCCTATCTCGCAATGTTACAATCGGCTATATCCAACCGAATGTTGAAATAGCTTACACTTCACCATGTTAGTCATGCTGTCTCAGGTTATCTATCCTCCAGCTATACTGCGTGTGTTCTCATTTGTCATTTTAAATTTACCCTAATTTTTGTAAATTATGTTCAGCATCTTAATTGAACCTGAACATTTTTATGTGTGATTATATATTTGAATGTTGTACGCAACATGTAATTTTATGTTGCCTTGTAATTTTAGCGTAGTCTTGGCCAGGTCGCGGTTGCAAATGAGAACTTGTTCTCAACCGATTAACCTGGTTAAATAAAGGTAAAATAAAAAATAAATAAAAAACAATCCAACACATCATTTAATTAGAAGCAGATAAATAAAGAAACATTATATCCAACCCGATCTCACGACCAAGTCGTACGAATTCGACGAATGATTAAAAAGTGGCTAATTCGTAACAATTCATACGACCTCACTCGTACGAATTAATACGATTTTGTTAAATCGTACATATTTTACGAATTGGCCAATTCGTATGAATTCGTACGAATGAGCTACCCCTTACCCCGCCCCTAAACTTAACCATCACGTGGGTTTAGACAAATCGTACGAATTAGTACGAGTGAGGTCGTACGAATTAGTACGAATTAGACACTTTTTAATCATGCGCCGCATTCGTACGAATTGGTCGTGAGATAGTGTTGTTATATCACAAAAAAACGAACACTCCATTTACAGACGTTAAAGCAAAAAGTGTTCCTCTAAATAAATTGAAGTTTGAATCCATCTAATCTCCTCGCTGAATCGCATTACTTAGAGATCATGAATGTTTCTGTGCAATCTGCTTTGGGTCTTTTAATCCGATTGGATTGTAGAGCACTTTCTTCTGAACTCTTGCCCATAGGTACGAATCCACTTGTTGGCCACTAGAATGAAGAATTCAAAGGAGGTTTTACATTGTGTAGGAATGTCAAGTGCACATTGATTTGGGGATGAGTTTGGGTTGTGTGTTCTTGATTTTCAAAAATAAATATTTCTTCACTAGTACTTTACAAACCTCACAGAACACTTACCCCATTTATTGCCTACAAACACCGGACATGCTGCATGTAAAGTCCTGGCATCTTCATTTCCATTTCTTAGATGGTTAAACCACAGCACTGCTGTACCCTTATGGAATAGCACAGCTTAAATGAAGTCATTTCATCTATCTTAATTTAATATGAAATCATTGTCACTGTGTGGAAAATCAAGGTGTTTCAACTAACTCTCTTTGGCTGAAGTGCCGCACCAATGATAGGGAACACTGTTGCCCCACCAATGTCCACATCACTCAACTAAAATAAAGTAGTTAACTGTCAATAATCTGGAAAGAGGGAATTATTTAAAATATATATATGATTGGTTAGATTATACTCTCACATAAATTAGGACAGTAGAAATTCGGCCTCCTCTGCGTTGAAAGTCTGAGTCATTTGTCAACTGTGGAAAAAAAAGATTTTGTAACAAAGATATTAAATCTATTCCAGGTACATAACTTCAAACAGGACCAGAGGAATAACAAACACATAAAACAAGCCTTCATAAAATATACCTTTGAGTCATAATGTGGCTCATATTGGCCTCCAATTCCATAATTTGCTATCTGTAAAATAAATAAAAAAGTGAATTAAGTTACAGATCGATGCAATTCTCACATGAACAGTCAATTCTGGCCTCTGTTTGAATGTTTCAGGAACCAAACGGTGCACTGCACGTTCTCTTTCATAGGTTTAAACACCTCGTGCGGTGCTGATTGTCTGAACCCGTATAAAATCACTGCAATTTATTGCCTGATGGCGCAGGAGCCGCCTCAGCAGCGCTACGTCACTAACTCTTGATTTAGTGATCTGCTTCTCAGATTTTCTTCTTCTGGTCCGTGCTAGTTAAACTATTTTCATTGGATGTACTCTATTTGTCCTTCAGCGAGTAAAACTTGCTTCGTTCTCCTTTGTCATTGCCAGTGCTCTCACTTCATTGCAAGCGACGACCCACACAGTAAGTGTGTGAAATGCCTCTGCCTGTCGCAGACACGCGAGGCTATTTAAGGCACTTCTGGCTGCAAGTTTTGTGGGAATTTTAAACTCTCCGGCCGAGCCATGCTTGCTTTGATAAGGATTCAGGCCAGTTTCTCTCTCTCTATCTCACACCCAAGCGCTTACACCCTGCTGATCCGCCTATAAAATTCCTCCACGATTATTTATACCCCAGTCCACAGGCACGCAATGCCATTTCCTTAGGAATGGAGGCTGTTTTTTTCACCACGGCATCTGATTCTGGGGATTTTGGGCTCACGGCCCAAGCTCTCCCGCTTACTGACCAGTAAGCCTGGCCTTCTGAGGCCTACACTGAGCTTGTGGACGAGCCTCGCAACTCTCAATCCCTGAGCATGACGAGCATTTTCTGAGCGGCCAATCTAATTCTCACCCCTTTTGGAGAAAGCCGCCTATCTTCATCATGATATTTCAAGAACTTTTCCCACTCATCTAACGAATGCAGCAGCCTCTGACTTCCCCAACTCGGCTGGTGCGAATGTGTGGAGAAGGGCTATACTAGCATTCTGGACACTTATCTTTTGTCTTCTTTTGCTCCATCTTGGAAGTACCCTCTTCTTCCTTCTAAGCCCTGTAGGACCACTTCCATCCTCATTGGAAAATCCTACTCAGCGACTGGACAGGCAGGTATGGCGCTTCGTATCATGGCCATTCTTTGGGCTACCAAGCAAACGTCCTTAAGGAAATGGACAAGGGTAGCAGTAAAAGAGCCCCACAAAGCTCCTGACCTGGTGCTGAGTGTAACTAAGCACGCGCGGTTGGACGCACCATGGGGGAAATCTTTCTGATATTTGTGAAAAGCAGAAAGCTTTTCTACTAGAAAACTGCTAAGATGCAATCTTCTGCCCTTATGCAATTCATGCCTAGGAGGGCCTGTTAACCTCCCTCCTTTTATTTTGTGATTATTTTTATTATTTTCTGTAAAGCACTTTGAATTGGCATAGTGTATGAAATGTGCTATATGAATAAACTTGCCTTGCCTATTGGGCCAGTCTTCAATGCCAGAGGATTCCTCAGTGCCTCCTCCAGTAACTTTAGCTTTGTGCCAACCACCTCTCCCTGGCAGCCACATAAGTAGACAACTTATGTGGCTGCCAGGGAGAGGTGGTTGGCTCCCACCGGGGCTCATTCTAATGTAACCTGTCAGCATGGTGGTGCCAGGTGTGTCGCTTTGGGTTCCCCACAAATTCTAATTCAGACACACTCTCAGTTCCGTCGCAACCTCGCTTGCTTCAACGGATTCATCCCATGGTAACAAAAAGCGCCCTAGAGGCTTCTGTTCTACAGCAGGAAGTGACAGCTCTCCTCCTAAATGGGGCAATAGAGGAGTTTCCTCCTTCGGACATGAACCGTTGACTTTTCAGGCACTATTTCATCGTTCCAAAGAAGGGCTGGGGTCTGTGTAAAATATTGGAAATGGTTCGTCAGAATCTTTCCCTCTACGAAGGGAAATTCAAGATGCTGACGTTAAAAACTATCCTGGCGTAGATCCAAGCAGGGGACTGGTTTGTTACCATGGACCTGAAGGATACCTATTTCCACATCCAGGTCATTCCACGGCACAGGAGGTTCCTTAGGTTCACCTGTGGGGGAAGGGCATACCAGTATCGGGTTCTTCCATTTGGTCTAGATTTGGCTACTTGGACATTCTCTGGCCCCTTTGAGGCTCCAGGGCATCCGTGTACTAAATTACATAGACGATTGGTTCATTCTGGCTCAATCCAGGGAGTTGGTGTGTCGTCACAGTGATGTGAGTGACATACTCTACCACATCCGGTCCTTTGGTCTCAGGGGTCTTAACACCTTCTCAGTGGACAATTTTCTTGGACGTCCAGCTCGATACACTATTGATGCAGGCCGGCTTGGCCTCTGCTCGAGTTTCCAGTCTCTTTGCGTGCTTGGCTAAGACGCAATCTGCTGCCCTTATGCAGTTCATGCCTAAGAGAGCCAGCTAACCTCCCACTTCTTGGCGCCTGCCTTTCGTTTCAGTCTCAGCCATCATGTTGCAGTGGGTGCATGCTGCAGACTTCTGACTCTCCTGTGCTGCCTTTGGGTATGCTTCACATGAGACTATTCTTGTGGTGGATGAAACTCAGGGGCATCCGTCCTTCTTAGCCTACTTTCAGTTTGAGTATCGAGCACCATTGCCTTCGTGCTCTCTGGATGTGGAAAGACCCTCTCTTCTTTTTTTTTTTTACAAGGGGTCAAGATGGGTGTGGTCTGCTGCCATTAGGTTCACAGGATGAACAACTCCCTGACTGATTGGGATGCGGTCTTCAAAGGCAGACTGGCTTTCAGTGTTTGGATGGGCAAGCTTCTTTCGTGGCACATAAACTGCCTATAGTTGTGTGCCACCTTTCTGGATCACTTCCATCCGGCCCTGATGGGCTCTCATGTTATTATCAAAATGGACAACATAGCAGTGGTGTCCCACATAAATCGCGTTACGTATCCTTCTTTCGAACCTTTGGAATCAGCTCCGGACCGGATTCTGACCCTTAAGGTCGTTTTTTCAAGTGGTGGCTTCTCTCAAGCATGTGGGGGATCTGCAGGCTCTCTCTGTGAGTGGGCCTTGCATGGAGTTTGCCCAGGGCCTTGTGAAGGTGTTTCTGAACATTATGTCCCCAATGTTCTGTTCACGTCATTCCGCTCTCAAGTGGCCATGCTTAATTTTTTCTGTCCTCCACCCTTTGCCTCCACGGAGGAGGGGAGGCTTCTTTTGTTTTGCACTGTTCGGGCTGTATGTGGACTTTTCTGGCTAGTGGCAAGTGATCTCAATTATTTGTGTGCTTTGGGGCCGGCCGCTGAGGGCCTCTTATCAAATGATCTCACATTGATCACTCATTGGTAAATGGTAAATGGTAAATGGACTGCATTTATATAGCGCCTTCATAGACCTAATGGCCACCAAAGCGCTTTACATTTTGCCTCACATTCACCCATTCACACACTCATTCGTACACCGACGGCGGTGTCAGCCATGCAAGGCGCCATCCAGCTCATCGGGAGCAGCTGGGGTTAGGTGTCTTGCTCATGGACACCTCGACACTTGGTCAGGTGGAACCGAGGATTGAACCACCAACCTTTCGGTTCGTAGACAACCCACATGAACCACTGAGCCACTGCCGCCCCTCATTGGGTGAGAGATGCAATTTCTTTGGCTCATGAGGTGCGAAAGCTCCCTACACCCCTGGGCATTATAATTTACTCTACTAGGAGTGTCGTGTCTTCCCAAGCTCTTTTTAGAGGAGTCCCTTTGGAGGACATTTCTACCCGCAAACTTTTATCAAGTTTTACAACCTGGATTTGGGTCCTGGTTCCCGTTTTTTTTCCTGCATGGACCAGTCGTTTTGGTCCCAGTTGAGTTTGGTCTGGTTCCAAAAAAAAAGTTCTTTGGGCCAGATCTGGCAGCCCTTAGTTTGGCGTATTTGGTATATAATTCCCATCGCTTCATCGCAACGCAGCATTGAGTAAACCTATGAAAAAGAACTTCTTGGGCTACTTATGTAACCCATGTTCTCTAAGTAGGGAACAAGACATTGCATTTGCTTCTAAGCTCTTCTCGCTGCTAAGGGGGCTTCTTCGGTAGAAAATCCGAAGAGAAGATGGCGCATTCATTATATGACGTAGGTGACGTAGTGCTGCTGAGGCGGAACCCATGCCATCAGCCAATAAATTGGCGTGATTCTATACGGATTCATGTCATCACTATGCTGCATCTCGTTCCCTATTCAGAGAAGATAGATTATGTAAGTTACCCCGAGATATTATCTTTTCAGAAACTTTCCCATAAAATGTGAAATGTAACCTCCAGTACGTGTTTGATTGTGGTCTCTACATACATAGACCTACAAGAAATCTGATAATGCTATATTACAGTAATTAAAAACAATTACATGATCAGAAATTGCCTGAACAGAAACAATCTGTGCAATATAAATAAAGGTGACTTGACTATTGACTAAGGTTTGATTTATTTTGGTCATTAAATAATTGCCATACTTCCATTTGTGTGACATAAGTTTTGGTCATGCACATAGCTAGTAACTCCCAAAGTTGCATCTTGAGGCCTTGAATGTGAATACCTGGAGCTCCTCTGCTGTCTCCAATTCTAGACCAGTGACATCAGCAATTCTTTGGTTGACCTGTGTGATCACCGGATCTTCATCTTCAGAGAGCCACGCACTGGGAGACATAAAGAGGACGATCACATTAAGGATGATCACATTAACTGCTAACTGCCCTGGACTATAAGTGTCACGGTTCTGTCACTACAGTTCTGGTTATTCTTGGTTTTGTGACAGAGCTGTGACATGCCTGGTCTTGTGTTTGTTATGGTCTTGATGGTTGTGAGCACATGGCTATCATGTGATTTCTGTGTGCCATGTGCTCTTGTTAATGTTCTAGCCCCTCCCATCTTGTTACCTCGTTATTGGTTTATTTGTCCCACCTGCTTTCCCTCAATTACCTCCTTGTTTGCCTTCCTATTTAGTCTCCCTGTGTTTGTTGTCTGGTGCTCATTCGTTGTTAAATGTTACCTGAGTTTTGAGTTGTGTTTGTTCTGTTTCTGCCGTGTTCTTGGATTTTTGTAGTTAGTTCATGAGACCTGGATTTCTTTGTTTTGTTTGTTTGATTTATGTTTTATTTAATTAAAACATTACTTCTCCTCTGCATTTGAGTCCTCGCTCCATTTCCCACAACCCACACGTAACAATAAGTAACAAGGAAACAAACAAAAACCATTGACAGTTCTCAAAATATATACAATTTTAATTATAGTTTTGGAAAGACAGGAGCATGAGTAAATGAGTTTTTATTTTGCATACCTCTTTGACACACGGGATGCTACAGGAACTTTTCTTCCAGAGACTGGATCTATGACTTTAGCTCTGGAAAGCTAAATATAAACAGAGATTTGTGTTGCATTAGATCAATATTGTTAATTACTAATAATACATATTCTATATTTTAAAAAAATGGGACAGAAAATGATCAATAATACCAGTTATAAAATTACAAATGTATTTAATTTCATTTACATTCCCTGTAATTCTCCTACACACTGATACACACTGGCCAGTGTGATATTTTGAGAAATTACTGTTCTGTCAATGGCAGGAAAAGAGTAAACATGTCTACACTGAAATAATACTTTAAAAGAGCAGTTTAAAATAAATGTAACCTGTAATTATTTTATATAAAGAGTTGATGAACATGTTGTGGTGCTACTTAATCAAACATAAATGGCATTTAATGTACCTTTGGCCTGGCCAGTGTTTTGATGGTGTCCATTTCTCCTTCAGAAAGAAAGTCATGGTAGCGTAGTATCGTGGGCTGATCCCACTCCACTTCCTCTTTAAAGAGCACCAGCGGGTTTCCTCTTCCTGTTCTGTACCTGCACACCAGTTTTCTCTCTCTCTGAGGCGTCTATAAGCCATTATGCAATGTTAACTCCACAATGACACTTTTAATCTAATCTTCAACAGAGTACAGTTTTAAACCAATTTTCCAATCTTCTTGTTTTGTGTAAAGTATAAATCATTTACTTTTGATGTGTTATGTTTGTTTTATGCATCGGATGCCATGCTTGCCCGGGCCGCCACTAATATCAGGCTTGAGTGGACTCCTCCAGCCTGCCCTTTGCTTTTCAGTTGGATGATTGGTTTGACTTTCCACTCCAGTTTATATCTACCTGAAAGTGCTAAGGAGCTCACAGAGTCATGGAAGACACCTTTCACTGTCAGGACACCCTTCGTGGGTTCTTTGACCCTCACTACCCTCGATGGTAGCGTGGCCAGGGGGTAATCGGAGGTCGAGCTTGCAATTGCAGTGCATCTGTGCCATAGCCAGACCAAGGCACTTCAAAATCTGAATGAAGGTAAATGGACTGCATTTATAAAGCGCTTTCACAGACCCAATGACCACCAAAGCACTTTACATTTTGCCTCACATTCACCCATATACTCACTCATTTATACACCGACGGCGGTGTCAGCCATACAAGGCGCCATCCAGCTCATCGGGAGCAGCTGGGGTTAAGTGTCTTGCTCATGGACACCTCGACACTTGGTCAGGTGGAACCGGGGATTGAACCACCAACCTTCCGGACATTAACCACTGAGCCACTGCCGCCCCAAGGTAGTCCTGACCAAGAGCTGATGCAGGATATGTGCTCGGTGACTGACTGCACAGACTCTGGGGCAGCACCATCTTTGGCTTAACCTTGCAAAGATGAGAGATGCTAAGAATGTGTGTACCGTCTCCCAAGTTGGCCTCTTTGGCGACACTGTCCAGGAATTATCTTGGCTTCTGAGGTCCTGAATCCCATCTGTCCATTGCAGGCGCACAGCCTCCCTAACAGTCGCAGACCAATTCCATTGCGGGGTCTTGGAGTGAGCTGGGTGTTTTAACACCTCTATGGCTATGGTCACTAGATTGGGATGCAAAGCCTCCCAACATGGCAACCTCTCACTGCAAGGCACCCAACACAGGCAAGTCAATAAAGTTTGTCCCCTTGGTTTCCCCTCCTGTGGACATCAAGATTGGTTCGTGGCGATAGACCTGAAGGACCCATACTTTTAGGTCACGGTTTTACCTCAACACAAGACCATTCGTATGGTTTGCCTGAGATGGACGATCATATCAGTACAAGGTCCTCCCCTTCAGGCTGTCCCTGTCACCTTGCATCTTCACGAAAGTCACAAAGGCTGCCCTTGCCCCGCTAAGGAAAGTGGGCATTCGCATTCTACATTATCTTGACGAATTATTAATTCTAATGCACAATCATGACCTATTGTGTGCACACAAGGATCTGGTGCTCAAACCTCAGCCCGTTGGGGCTTCAGAAAAGGCGATCCCTGGTGCAGACCATCTCCTTTCTTGGTATGGAGTTGGACTCAGTCACAACACGTCTCACGATGGGGTGCACCCAGTCAGTGCTGAGCTGCCTGAAAGTCAGGGAGGACAGTGAGCAAGTCTTGCTGGCTGTGCCTTACTGGCTTACCCGGACTTGGTTCTTGGAGCTCATGCTTCTTGACTTGAATTTCCCTCAGGAAGGAACTCCTTTTGCAGGGGAAACAATCTGGCACTCATGCTTAGACCTCTGGAACCTCCACAGTGACAGACACTAGCACTCAGAGCCAGAGCCCTCTCTATGATGTGGCTGTATGCTTTGAATTGGTATCTTTTTACTAGTTGGTGCTCTTCATGAGGTGAATACCCACGGAGATCTGCCGTTGGGTCAGTGCTTTCTTTCCTGCAGAAAAGGCTGGAAAGGCGGTTATCCCCTTCCATCCCAAAGGTGTACATATAGCTGCTACAGCGGCACATGATGAGAGAGTAGACTGTATGTCCTTAGGAAAGCACGGCCTGATCAATAGGTTCCTCAGAGGTGTGAGGATGCTAAATCCTCTGAGACTGGTCCTTCTGGCCCTACATTTGAGCCCTTGGAGTCAATTGAGCTATTTAAAGATGCCCGTCCTGACTGCACTCACTTCCATCAAGAGGGCTGGGGACCTGCAAGCACTTTTTTTTTTACTTATATGTGCCTTGTTGGGGACTTGCCTTGACTTTGGTCCTGAGATTCCAGCTTGGCTATGTGAACAATTCTGCCACTACCCCTCTCAGGGATCATGTGGTGATCTTGCAAGCACTCCCTTGTATTAATAGCCTGACTTCGTCATACTCATATTCTAGTCTGAATGTGAGTCTGAAACTGCTCCATAGGGCTTTGATTATGAGGCGTGTCTTAACCGAACCAGGGGAAAAAACCTCTGCACTCAATTGGATAGTCGGTAGACCTACAACCAAACAGAGCAACGCAGTAAGTCAACTCCTTTGCATAGCACAGTTGTCAACAGAACTTACGTACTTATTTTAGAAGTAAATAACGAGTGTTGCGTCTTTTACTTGGTCCTCCATGAGTGCGACCAAAGGAGAAACCACAACGACCACAGGCTTTTCATTACGTCCCATCTTCTTAGCGACCGTCAGAGCCAGCTGATAAGTTACACTTTTGCCGAATCATGTAGACAGCAAAAATTTCTTTCCGATCGACAAATGCCTTGATTGCAGTTTTCGGTTTGTCTATTAAAAATTAATGCGCTGTCGATTTATTTTACAACAGACGTGACAGCGGAATCTATACATCTCAATTCTCCAGCTGCAGTCATCTTTGAGGGAAGACAGTTGATAACGTGATGATTACGTCCCTGCAGATCATCTGTCCATCATCGTATAAAGCCCGCCCTGGCAATTTGATTGGCCCGATCATTTTTTGACTGATCATAATTACTCCTCAATGGATCGAGTCCAGACCGAACTTCCCGACCAAAATATGTTGTGGGCGGGGTTGGGGCTGGCATCCAGGCATCGTATTAAGGCAGACCCAGCCTTATCCCTGCTGTGTCCAACAGGTGCCCTGTGCATTTATTTGGACCGCACAGAGAGCTTCAGATGCTCTAAGCAGCTTTTGTCTGTTTTGAGGGAAAACAGATGGGGAAGGCTGTCTCCAAACAGAGGATCGCCCGACGCCCACTGGATTGTGGATGCCATTCCTTTGGCAAACTCTGGACGGCCTCCTATTCTCCATTCAGGATGTGGTCTCTGCCTTGTCCTTTTTTTCTGCATATGAAAAACAACACTTTCCCTAGTGCAAACTCCTGGGACCTGATATGTAAACGTTACAATTTTCCATGCACAAATCAGGATTTATAAAAATAAAATAAAAAAATAGGTGTAAATATGTGAAGACATGGACACATACGAAACATGCTGGAGTGAGCGAAGTAATAAATCAAACAAAGCGATTTAAACTCTGTTTTACATCTGATATACACATTTAGATGAAATACTCTCATTAATGGAGTTTTTAAATTTCATGAAATCATTATCCAGAAGCTACATCGTTTTTATATTAATTAAAATACAAGTATTTGTAGTTTATGTGCTGCTTCTGTTCTTTAATGTTTCAACTACAACAAGGATTGCTTGACTGCAAATGAGCTCAAAAGGGAAATATATATATATATACACAGGTAATCATAACTAATTATGATCAATTATAACCTAAATATTTAAATCACCCAACAAAGGAAATACATAGCCCTTGAATTTGTACACACTATCTATCTATCTATCTATCTATCTATCTATCTATCTATCTATCTATCTATCTATCTATCTATCTATCTATCTATCTATCTATCTATCTATCTATCTATCTATCTATCTATCTATCTACAGTATCTATCTATCTATCTATCTATCTATCTATCTATCTATCTGTCTGTCTGTCTGTCTTTTTTTAATAACAAGGATTATAAATAATTATGAATATATAAACAGGCACATTTATACTCACCTTCATAACCCTCTTGCCTGTGCATAGAGCCTCATATGCTGTGTTCATGTCGTGAACAGGCGAGACAAAATGAGGGATGTATTTTGCAGTCCAGGTCTTAATGCTCTCTTTTATGTTTTTGTAAAGTGCAGGCTGAAGATCTCCTTCTGTGGGGTCTAAGAACAATTGCAAATTAGATGCATTATAATTGAGTGTGAATTAGTGCATTGGTTTCAAGTGATCTTCATTTAACCTTTGGTAATAATTGTCAATGCACACTGTGTATTGGCGGTTATCCCCAACATGTAGCAATTAAAAAACATTTTAAACATTTAAAAAACAATTAGCCTAATATTTAGAGAAAACTAGAGATTATTGAACTGACATAAGATTTGCGAGTAATTTAGAGCACATAAGAACTTGGTTAGATAAGGCTTATTTGGGAAAGTTTCTGTCAAACAAGTTATAAAAAAGCCACCGTTGAGCAGCAAACAGGTAGTTGAAGTTGCTGGTGTCTCTGGAGTCCAAGAACCTCTCCGCGCATGAAGTTGCATTTCCTACCCTATCTCATGACCAATTCGTACGAATTCGACATATGATTAAAAAGGGGCTAATTCTTCGTACGAATTCGTACGATTTGTCTAAACTCACGTGATGGGTAGGTTTAGGGGCGGGGTAAGGGGTAGGTCATTCGTACGAATTTATACGAATTGGCCAATTCGTAAAATATGTACAATTTAGCAAAATCGTACTAATTCGTACGAGTGAGGTCGTATGAATTCATACGAATTAGCCCCTTTTTATTCATTCGTCAAATTCGTACGACTTGGTGGTGAGATCGGGTTGGCATTTCAGTCGCCCCAAACCTAAGCTCACAAAGAGAAACCTTTACAGATCTGGTTATTTTAGGTGTCTTTACCACAGAACATGATTTTACCAAGTACAACATATTTGTTGATCCCTGAACAACATTACAATCAACCAACTTCTTGCATGTCTCGCCCATTTTTGAATTTTCCTCTGTTGTTGGGATAACTAACAGGCAAGGTTGGGTTCAGGGGTAAGGATATGTTTAGGATTTTTGAAGAGGAAGGTTGTTCAAGAATCAACAAAATATGTTGACCCAGGAATACGTCTAACTCTACAAAATCAGGATGTGAGTCTTTACTTAGGCTACTGTGCAAAAAAAAAATGTGTTCATGTTGTATTGCAAAACGCTTTTGCGGGTAAAGGAAGTGTCACCAGTGTAATCATAGATGTGTAACATCTGGACAACACACAAATAATTCATTATATTTATTGAATAATCCAGCAAACTCAATCTCCCAACAAAGGTCTGTGGAAACATATATTAATTCCTATATATTAATTCTATATATAGCCACTTGTTATAACTTATTATGGGCTCACACACCTCCAGAGGGTGTGACATCTTTACACTTTAAAATCCCTGATCACAAGATCACATCTGTTGGTTGTTCTATTCTGAAGTCCTAAAGTGAAGATGATATGCTGAACCAGAAGTTTTCTAAGGACCCCCAAGCTTGTTCCAGGCTGAGGCCTTGTCTTTCCATTCACCAAAGATCCTCTGACTCCCACTGGTTCTCTCTCATCAAGACCACATCAGCAACTGGAGCCTCAACAAATTGCATCAGGACAGTTTAATTCAAATGGACGAGACATGCAAGTATCAAACTTAGTCTCATTATTTGATAAGTATCATTAACCCTTTTAAAGAAGAGTAGCAGTTTAGAGTAGTTTAAGTGTTTAGTGTATAGTAGGGCTGGGTAATAAATATCGATTTCTCGATATTAATCGATTCTCATTTTTACGAACAGATGTCGATTCTTAAATCTCAAGAATCGATTAGTCATCCTGTTTCATTTGAATGAATGGGACATTGTATCGCGGCTGCGCGCATCCAAAAAATCGCAATAATCTTTGTCCTTTGTTACTATTGATATGAAACAAAGTCTCAATTTTCAAATTACGTCCATTTTCTTTAGAAATTCAAAAACATGAATAGAGTTTTGGCGCTGTTGCGTGAGATCGCTCTGGCTCAGCTCCAGAGAAGCAGCAGCGCTGATCTCTCTTCCGGGTTAATAATACCAGTTACAGCGCGAAATAAACATGAATGAGCATCTGAAAGTGTGTTAAAAGATATAGTACATTATAAAAATCCGTATCATGTCACATTGATTCGCTCAATCAGCGTTTCAACCGTGGAAAGACGTCAGTTAAACAGCTTGTAATCAATTTCATCGTCATATTTACCTCAGAAAACCCACATAAACTCGTTAGTCAGCTAGAGAAAATAACTGTAGAGAGGAGCATTTTGCTAAATATATACACCATATTACATATGTATTATTATAATCTTAATGTTCTTCAATATGTAATGCATATTTGAATAAATCTGGCAAGTTTTTATGACAGCCACCATTTAAATATATTTCATATAATCTTCTTATTATAAAAATAAATAAAAGTGTAATTTAAGTGATTCATTCATTATTACCTTCATATTAGGCTAATGAACCCTAGTAGGCTACAACTAGACTCCCACAGTTTACAGCATTAGTTAAGAGATTTGATTCCCTTGAGAATGGCATTTATTGTAACTGATATCCAAAATAATCGAATATATATATACGATATTGAATCGAATCGTAATCGAATCGAATTGCAAGCTTGTGAATCGAAATCGAATCGAATTGTGAAATTTGTCTCAATACCCAGCCCTAGTGTATAGTTAATAAAGTTTTGTTCATGTCACACATAAGGTTGTCCGTGTTTCATGCTCATATACTGGAGTCCCTAATCATGTAGATTTTGAATCTTATACTGTACAGCAAGAAAGACATGTCCCATGCCACGGAAATTATAATTTCTTAGAATTAATAACCAATTAACACTGAGTGTTCACGGGACAAGCAGGTTAATTGATTATAATATAAATTCAATTACATTAAAGGGGTTAAAAATTATCCAAAATGCATATTTGAGAAAATACATAACCAGCCAGTGTTCAAGGCTCTCTGCTTGCCGCAGCTCGATTCAAAGCGGTAAGCTTGTAATAATGTTTTTAGTTCCAGTGGTAATAGTGGATTTACGCGGGAGATTCGAGTGTGTCTTTGCGTCATTACGTCACATCTGTACACAAACACATCTGTACGCACACACATCTGTACATATAAAGGAGGAGTCTCGGCTAGTATAAGCCATAGCGTCTAGTATAGCCTTTTCTCACAGCACTTGATATAATTAAATTGAATTAAATTTGATGGCGAATCCAGAAAGGTTCAAACGACAATCGCCAGTACATTCAGAAGACTTCGTTCGGACTTCGGAGTGGCGACAGAAAAAAAGAGACACGTAATCACGCAATGCTGACATTGTTAACATTAACAATTTGAGAACAAAGTATAATTTGCACGGTTTTGCGTTGATATGATAACTTATAAGCGATTGATTTAATCAGCGCGATTTACTGAGATGTCAGAACCAGAACAAAAGGGGATGTTACTCTTACTAGTTCAGACGACATTTTCTAGTGACAATTCTTATGTTGGTCCCACTTCCAAAAAGAATAATCTGTGATTCTGAATGCCAGTATCCACACCGTGAGTGACTGACACACACACACACACACACTCTCCTCCATCAGTGTGTTCATCCGTGCTGTGCCGTGCCGAGGCACAACTCACGTAAAGTTTATAATTCCGCGAAAGACTGCAATTGCAGATTTCGAACAGAGATGGCGACAAAGAGGAAGAACGATTGAGGCTTTAAGTTAATTCTATTAACTAAATAAAATATTAATAATTAATTGTAACAAGTTATGATTATTAATATTTCTTTAGAGATAATTTGCTAATTAATTAGAGTTCTAATTACACGCAGGTATTAAATATAGTAGTACAATTTATATGTTCATACTTTCATATTATCATGATTTTTTTTTCTGAGCTAAAGAGGTAGATCTCTGAATGAATTTCCGTGCTTGTTAACTCCTCACCTCGCCCAGATGACAGCTGGATCTGATGGGAAAACGAAGCAAGCTGGAAAAGAACCTCCTCTTCAGTAACAACGGCTTCCTCGCCCTGACTGAGTTTGCTGAAGGTTTCTTCCATCCAGAGGAGGGCATACTGAAAGCGTCGATTGAGAGAAGAGATCGTGCCGATTTGGAACGTTTCATCTGGATCTAGTCTTAAGTTGTGGTTGGTTTCTGAAAAGCCACACATCAAGTTGACGTCACTAAAACCCTCAGAGTACAAACTGAACAAGATTTTTTTATGATGGCAATGTGTGTGGTTGCCAAGGCATTGCTAGGTGGTTTGATGAAAAGTGCCTCTGTTCTGGTCTCTAGATATGACTCCATATGGGATTTTCCACAATATAAAGGCGGTTTTACTAAAAATCATAAGATTGACAGCTATCGCATTGGAATTACTACTGCAGTTCAAATTACAATGTATTGGAGTGGGTTGGTTTTCCCGGTTTCCAGATTTAGGACAAACAACATGAGCGAGTGCAATTGACAATGGAGGAGATATACACACTTGTAAGTAGAGCCCGACCGATAAAGGATTTTGTAGGCCGATACCGATACAAATATTTGTTGGTTTTAAAATCCAATAATCCGATATATATATATATATTTTTTTTTCAGAAACGCGCAACAAAACATTAACAGATTTCCCTAACATTAGTTATTTGTAGTTATGTATGAGTTTTAAATAAAATAATATGATAATGCATTTTAAAAAGAAACTTTTATTCTTTTATTGTCGCAACAGAACAGAGGAACCAAAGGTCATTAATGTTAACGTTAGTGGTCTTCCACTGATGATAGTGGCATTAGCTAGCTTTGTGGTTAACAGGGACTGTGTAAAGTGCCCTCTGGTGGACAAACTATACAACTCCAACACTCATGATATGGTTCAAGCGTATTTCGTCCATTTTTATTTTATTTTTGAAATATTCATTTATTGGCCATTATGACTGCCGATACCGATAGTTTGGAAAATGCCTAATATCGGCCGATAATATCGGCCTGCCGATATATCGGTCTGGCTCTACTTGTAAGTTGTTAAGTTGATGTATCTGTGTTTTAATATGCTCCCATTCATAGAGATTTTTAGGCGGGTGCCGAGGCTTTTAGGTTAAGAGGTTTGTTTGCTGGGTTCCATGGCTGCAATACCCTGTGTTAAGGTCCTTGCCTGAAATTTTCGTGTGTGTTTTTTCGTATTCGTCATCCGGTGGCTCTGAATTGTCAAAAATCCTTTCAAAAGGCTTGCTAAGCATGTGAAAAACACAGAAAGTTGAACTCAATCAGATTTTTTTTAATGATTGACAAAGGTAGTGCGTAAACATGATTGACACATCGTGAAGTTGTATTTATTTTTTAATGTGCGAAAATTTCGACTGAGAATTGAAAATGAGCGTGCAAGGACCTTTACTATTGTATAAATTGGCAGTGGGCGGAGTCACACTGATCAAAATAATAACAGGGGATAAGAGAACAGAATAACTGGCAGTAGAAATGTTTTTCAGAGAAATAAGTATGTGAGCATGTTTCCTAAATCTCTGCAAACATGGTACTTTTATGCTTTAGTGGTCACACAGCACCTTTAAAGGAGTAGTTCACTTTAAAAAAAAAACTTTTGCTGATAATTTACTCACCCTCTTGTCATCCAAGATGTCCATGTCTTTCTTTCTTCAGTCAAAAAGAAATTATGGTTTCTGATGAAAACATTCCAGGATTTTCTCCATATAATGGACTTCAATGGGAACCAAACGGTTCAAGGTCCAAAAGAGAGTTTCAGTGCAAACTGTTCAAAGGGCTTTAAATGACACCAGCTGATAAACAAGGGTCTTATCTAGCAAAACGATCGCTCATTTAATTAATAAATAACAAAGTTTAAGTTTTATAAGCTCAAATGCTCGCCTTGCTCTGTTCTGCGATGCGCGTTCGGGACTCTCCTGTTCAAACTCGTTCATCAAAATGAACAAATCTTTTTTCATGTCATTTGGTTCATTCAACGAACAAAACGAACGAGTTGACTCGGAAAAAGATTTGTTCATTTTGATGAACGAGTTTGAACAGGAGAGTCACAGAACAGAGCAAGGCGAGCATTTGAGCTTATAAAACTTAAACTTTGTTATTTATTAATTAAATGAGCGATCGTTTTGCTTGATAAGACCCTTATTCATCGTCTGGTGTCGTTTAAAGCCCTTTGAACAGTTTGCACTGAAACTCTCTTTTGGACCTTGAACCGTTTGGTTCCCTCTGAAGTCCATTATATGGAGAAAATCCTGGAATGTTTTCATCAAAAACCTTACTTTCTTTTCGACTGAAGAAAGAAAGACATGGAAATTTTGGATGACATGGGAGTGAGTAAATTATCAGCAAAAGTTTTTTTTTAAAGTGAACTACTCCTTTTATCTGATTTATCTGTCGCATTTAGCTGATTAGAGCTGGGTGAAAATATGGTTTACATTTTGCAACAATACAAGCAATCAAGCAGTTGAGATGAGCTCTATGCAAGAATACTTTAACTTTATATAAAGAACTGGGTGATAATAAAGTGATAAAAATAAATAATAATAATAAAGTTTATCACTGGGTGATACAATTTTTTTTTTTTGTAAAAATCTGGCAGTTGAGATTTGCTTTATAGTGTTACAGTGATATACTAATGGTTAGGGGTTTGTTCAAATCACTAAGCGAACAACACTAATCAGGAGAGTGATAAAGTAAAAAAAGAAAAGCACCATGAAACGCACCAGAAAATAACATGATGCTCCTTGGATCTAATCTGTACATGTCTTGCAGTCTAACCAAAGCCATCACCACTCCTTCTACATCATCTGCGCCGGGGAGAGTCTGAGCGCAAGATTTCAGGTCTTCCAACACATCTGTGAGAAATTAGAGATGTAATTGACTGTGACCTCGACCTTTAAAGCACGTTCAGAAAACAACTAACAACTATTGTACCTTACTAAATAATAATAATATGCAGTATTTAAGAGTTTATTGAGGCAAAAGTCAATGGTGAGAATTGGATGCTAATCTAAAGTGTGATCAATAATTCATATCATAATCAAAAGTTAGTTAGGAGTAATTCCAGTGTCTGGATGATATATTGTGAATGTCTACAGTTGTGCTTCTACCTTTAGCGTGTCTTCCTTCGATGAGGTCCAGTGTGTTCGGCCAGACTCGACTCAGCTTCCGCACAAGCCGGTACGCCGCAAGAGGGTTGCTGACGAATTTCTCTGGGTCTTTAGGAGTGTCATCAAAGTCACTCACAAAGGCATTCAGAATCCTGAGAAATAAATGATAACAATAATAAAAATATTTTAAAATGTGCAAACAAACTGTGGTAAAAAATAAAGAGAAAACAGCATTTGTGCGCAGTGTGTTTCACCATAACTTGCTGATAATTAACAGACACTAAACTAAATTAAATGTATCATATTTAATTAAAGGGATAGTTCACTTTGAAATAATTTTTTGGTATGTTTTATCTTACCTCAAGGACATCCAAGATGTAGGTGTCTTTGTTTCCGCAGTAGTTTCAATTTTGATATTTTTAGGTCAAACCGTTCTTGTCTGTCAGTCATATAATAGAGGTCTATGGTCACCACCTCAAAGAACACTTGTTCATTTTCTCACACAAACTACTCGTTTCGTGTCTTAGTCCATCAATGTGTACTTACATTTACGAGTTATTAAATCATGTTTAATTTGGACTTCTCTGTGCATGCTCTTTAAGGTGGTGACCATAGACCTCCATTATATGACTGACAGACAAAAATAGTTTGACCTAAAAATATCAAAATTGAAAATACTGTGGAAACAAAGACACCTACATCTTGGATGCCCTTGAGGTAAGCTAAAACACAGCCTACCAAAAAATAATTTGTGAATAAAGTGAACTATCCCTTTAACGTGATTCAACGTTTAGCAAGCTAAATCTCTGCACTCTTCATACTCTCCTCTCTATGTCTCCACTGGATCTAAGATTCTTCTTTAAAACTTTTCTGTGTAATACTACTAAGTTGTTCGCGGCTCTTTTTAAGTTCTGCTCTACTCTATATCTTTATACGAGCCATTCCACCGAAAGGGTGACATTTCTGTCCCCAGGACATTATATGTATAAAATTGCATGAAAATGAACTCTAAAATACATTTTATTATTAAGCAAAATGTCATGCACATTTAGCTAACTACAAATTGAAAACATATAATTAAAAACATTAACAAAAACGACACAGAACACTAAAAAATAGCATTTTCTGCATGTCCCAACTCTCAATCTCTAAACTTTACCATGAAATATTATGATTAAAATCCTTCAGAAATCTGATTTTTCTTGCATTGTTGTGTGACTTTATATCCAAACTGCTATAAAATGAAAAAAGAAAAAAACATTTGATCTAATATTTTAGATAAAATACACATTTTAGTCATGTCCCCAGGTTTTCACTCAGTCCTGTTACACTATTACATTCCCCCGCTGAATAACATAGAATATTCCACAAGACATATTTTCAACAGTAAGTTTCATCATCTGGATCTTCTGAAGGCAATGGGCCGACTATAAGTCACTCCTCTCATTTTCATTTCTGTATATTTGATGAAATTGTAACTATGAATGAGAAGGTCAATCTCAACATACATTCCTGTTACCTAAATGTTTTCTTAGATTTAATTGTTTTATTTTAAAAATATTAACTTTTGGTAAGGCACTAGAAATGGCTCAGTGTCCTCACGCTATTAGCATCACTGCTATGTGGCCATATGCCATATATTTGATAACTTTTTGCTTAAAAACTCAATCCTGTTACCTTCAGTACTGTTACTAATTGTTTCTTTTTCTAAAAAAAATAAAATGAAACCACTATTTTTATCATTTTTGTTTGGCCCATAATTTATACAATTATTTAATGAATTAATTCTAAAAAAAAAATATAAGCTTGAGGCTTCGGCCATCTTTGAAATGAAAAAATGCCTTTGTGTTTTTTATATCAAAATACACCTTGCTTTAATAGTGATTTTATTGGCAAAAATATCAATTTTTTTGAATATATAACCAACAATTTATTTAAAATAAACACTTTCTTGTGGGGAAAACAAAGGAATTAATTGACATGCTTCTAAACTTGCTTTTTAAATGACACATGGTTTTTGGTATCAGGATTGAGAAAACATTCGTCCATATTCTGCTTAAACCTTGTAAAATAATAAATAAAGTTGCACGAGATTGACCAATACAAATTTAGAATAGTTAAATATGTGTAGTATTAGATTCAATGTTAAAAAAGCTCAAAAATAAAGTTTATTTTTGAAGAGTTACAACAAGCAAATGTCACCCATTCGGTGGAATGGCCCATACACTATCACACACGCATACACTTACCGTACCTCTTCAGAAGTTCTGCTTGGCGCTCCAGCTCTTCTATATATTCATGAAGGGATGTGGCAAACCTTTTTTCGATATCTATAAGTTGAATCATATGATCTACAGAAAGGATATCACGACAGTTAGCACTTGTTCAAAAACATACATGATTGAAGAGAGAAGTGTTTTCGACAATCGACATCCTAGATTCACTTTATTTAAACGGTCCCTTTAACATTCTGTTAATTGCAACCGAGCACGTGCACCCACATGTCTATTAACTCTCATTAGAGTATTAGTTGACTGTTCGGGTTGTCACAAATATCCTTACAGTCACCAGAACATCAAAATAAAGTGTTCACGTCATCTTATTGCGATGGACTAACCTGTTGAAGAGTAGAATTCATTTACAGCGACACAGGCAATCCAGACCGTTGATAACAACAAAACAACCGACTTTGCTTCCATCTCGAGCCGTTAGTTGAGCTGAATGTCCAGACTGGTTCTGTTCCAGGCTAAACTGGTCTCTATGCTGTAATGATGCAATGTGGATCGAGTTAAGTCACACCTTTTTTAAAAACACCTTTTTAAAAACAGATTACAGCTAATTGTGTTATTGTCTGACTCAATAATCTCCTATGATTAGCCCCACGCTTACAATGACAGGTTAGATAGATATCTGGAGAATTACACATTGAGGTTTTCATGTTGAAAGAGCTGTGGTCAGGTGTGTTTACAGTAAAAACATTACCAAATCAGACCATTACAGACACTGCTAGGCTTGACACGAGTCGTTTCAAAATTCCTGGCTATTCACTTGAATTCTAAAGACTATAGGCTAATATTGTACTGAACAAAATGTCATAATAAAAATTAAATATATGAACAGTGCTCGTATGTGTTTGTGTGTGTGAAATGCAGAAAGTTTTCTGTGAGGGTTGTGTACAGCATTAAAATGTCTAAGGAAAATTTGGGTAACGCTTCCTTTTACAGTACAGTACTTACATTATACTTACCTAGAAAATACTGGCTAATATAAGGTAAGTACATGGAACAGGGGTAGGTTCAGGGTTAGTACTAGCTATTAATTAAATAAGTAGCCTACATAGTATTTACATGGGTAACTGGACTGTAAAAGGAAGCGTTACCAAAATTTCCATAAAAAATGGACATAGAAGCATAACTTAAAATTTAGATATTTTTATTGCAAAATAATACAAAATAAACACTGAAAAACAATAATTTATGCATTACATGAACACAATGACTTCTATGACGTGATTCTCCTGTTAAATCTGCCGAGAAAGTTCAAATAAAAGGAACGTCAAATAAAAGAGAAACCCTTAACACACAGATCTCCCGATCAAGCGCTGCTCATCATGTCTCATAGCAGTGAGTCCTGACTGGATCCGATGCACGTTCCGGAGTGTGTGATTGTGTCCGTGTGCACAGGCACAGGCGGTAGAACGGAGCGGTCACTGGATCAGTCCACTTCAGTCAGGCCACACGGTCGTCTGAACTCTTGCCCTCTCTCGTGGATCCATTTGTTTGAAACTGACAAATGAGAGGAACTTGTGAATGCGAAGGCTTTAAAACAACCCACCTTTCATGCCATGTTAGATTAAAATTAGTTTAACTACAAAAAAGTAATTGAACAGCAACCTGTTAATGAGCATTGCCGGTGTGTGTGTGTGTGTTTATTCCACTTACCCCATTTACTGCCTACCAGAACAGGACAGGCTGCGTGTCTCGTTCTGTAGTCTCCTTCTCCACTTTTAAAGAGGTTGTACCAGAAGACCGCTGTTCCCTACAGAAAGAGGAGGATAGGAGTTCAAATCCAGCGGCAACCTTCCGGTCTCGCTCTTGAAACAAACACTGAGACTGAGTGACTTAAACTGCAGTTCATCAACCGGCTGCAGGAGAGAGTCAATCCCATAAACCCTCATGTAAAAGGGATACTCCACTTTTTTGGAAATAGGCTCATTTTACCATTCCCCCAGAGTTAAACAGTTGGGTTTTACCGTTTTTGAATGTGTTCAGTCGTTTTTTGTTTTTTTTTATATTTAGAAGAATATCAGTAACCAGACAGTTTCTGGTCTCATTGACTTCCATAGTAGGAAAAAAAATACTATAGAAGTCAATGAGACCAGAAACTGTCTGGTTACTGATATTCTTCTAAATATCAGAAAATCAGCAGAATGGATTTGAAAACGGTAAAACCCAACAGTTTAACTCTGGGGGAGTGGTAAAATTAGTCTATTTCCAAAAAAAGTGGAGTATCCCTTTAAGGTTTGGTGTCTGTACCTTTCTAGGCCAGATAGCAGCACCAAAATCCGGGAAAACCGTCGCTCCCCCTGCCTCAACATCACTCATCTGTAACATAGAAAGATTATTAACATCACAACATGGCATGTCATCAGAGTTTCAGTGTCTACCAACAGTACTAATACTCTAAGTAAGGGTTAATACCCGACGAGGTGTCCTTTGTCAGGTTTTAATGGACGACGGCGAGGCGTGAAGTCCTCCGCCGAAGTCCATTAAAACCTGACAATGGACACCTCGAAGGGCATTAACCCGCTTATACCATGGTCACTTGCCAAATAAAACATTTTTAAAACATTAGCTGCTAGTTTATATTTTAATTAGGCTAAATCAAGTTTTTACAAATAATAACTCGCCTGGTTTATTTAGCAACCGGAGATATCTATAGTCCAGCTTGTAGAACCCTTCAGGTTCAAAAATGCATTTTTTTTTCATGAAACACAAAGGTAGGCATAGTTTTGTTTTTTAATTACACATAAAACAATTAATCAAACAGGCTTCTTAGGCTTGAAACGCATTTTTTTTTTTTTTTGGAAAAATAAAGTCTCTGAGTGGATTTACTGCCCATTTCTTTTTTTTTTTTCGTGTTGATCTCATCTTTTTCGTCTTCTATTTGATTCAATTCTCCTGGTGTTATCTCTTTGTGTCGTTTTATTTACATTTTTTCTTTCTTCAGCAGCATCCCAGTCGTAAAGTTGTCATATTCTCCATAAATGTTAAAAGAAATAACGAAGTCGCTCATTGTTGTATTAGTAGGCTATGTTACCCAACTAACGTTAGATGTTTGTTTTGATAGAGCGTTTGACTGGCTGTTGCTATGGTTACTCGCAGCTGTTGTGGGCAGCGCATTTATTTATTCATTTCGAATGGTAAACAGGCAGTTTCACCAGAACTACTTTACTAGGTGTCCTCTATCACTTTTTAACGGACACCCTGCAGCCAATCAGAATCGAGTATTCACCCAGACCATGGTATAATGAGAGTTAGTTGAGAGAGAGAATGTCTAAAGTGGGCCATCGAAATATCAAAATTTGCAGATGTTGGAATTATTAATGCTTGTTTTGTGTCCCTGGCTGATATCCACTGGTGTTGTGTGTGTGTGTGTGTGTGTTCATGTGGATCCATAGTAGCCAATGACACAATACCTGATGCCAAGTCAAGAAGTGTAATCACATAACACATGAGTTCTGGAAGCAGGCACCACAAGATACACATACTTACATAATTTAAAAAAGTAGCCACACGATTTCCAGTGCCTAATGATTTGAAAGCATCAGGTTCATCTTTCTATGAAGATAAAATTTTAGAGTAAAGACAGGCAGAGAGGCAAGAAACGCTCGTCTCCGAGCGCACACACATGTACTTACGTAGTTCAGAAAGGTGGCAAGTCTATTTCCATCAACCTTGAGGTTGCTGTCAAAAGGACGCTGCAACAGACGTGTGTAACTTTTAAAGCAGACTGAAGTGCAGCAGGGGAATATCTCTGCCTCGGGGGCGACTTACTGTACACTTCATATGCTAAGCTGAGTGTTGGGTGTCAAATCAGTTCACAAACATGTACTCAATCTAAAACAAGATCTGCTTTCAAGTTCAAATCAATCAATAAAAAGTCCCATTAAAATGATCAGGAAACGTATTACCACCAGCATTCATAACACAAGCTTCTATTCCAACATTTAAATCACAGGCACTTTTTTGCCATCAAGTGACACACTACATCCCGTCATAAACTTCAAAATGATTATTTACATGTACTATATCGTTGCCCAAAATGATCTTTCTCCATCCACCGTGTGACAGTCGAGTTATTAGCCGGTGAAGACGCGGATCAATGTTTGCTCCATCACATCTGCTCACTGAAGAGTGCGTGTTCGTGATCCGCGATAATAACACAGTAAACTTCACAGTTCTGTTGCGATTCAGTTGAGCTACTGACTTTATTTATTTCTGTCATTTTGTTGTTAAGGAGTAGTTCACTTTAAAAAAAAAAATAAAAAAAACTTGTGCTGATAATTTACTCACCCCCATGTCATCCAAGATGTCCATGTCTTTCTTTCTTCAGTCGAAAAGAAATGAAGGTTTTTGATGAAAACGTTCCAGGATTTTCTCCATATAATGGACTTCAATGGGAACCAAACGGTTCAAAGTCCAAAAGACACTTTCAGTGCAGCTTCAAAGGGCTTTAAACGACACCAGACCAGATGAATAAGGGTCTTATCAAGGACACTTCGAGTCATGACTTGAAAAAGATGAGTTCATTTTGATGAATGAGTTTGAACAGGAGAGTCACGAATACATATCACAGCTTATAAAACTTAAACTTTGTTATTTATTTATTAAACGAGCGATCGTTTCGCTTGATAAGACCCTTATTCATCGTCTGGAATCGTTTAAAGCCCTTTGAAGCTGCACTGAAACTCTCATTTGGACCTTGAACCGTTTGGTCCCCATTGAAGTCCATTATATGGAGAAAATCCTGGAATGTTTTCATTACAAACCTTAATTTCTTTTTGACTGAAGAAAGAAAGGCATGGACATCTTGGAAGACATGGGGGTGAGTAAATTATCAGCAAAAGTTTTTTTTAAAAGTGAACGACTCCTTTAAGCTGTGTTGTTGTAGTGACTTTATTTGTCACGCTGCTGTGTTGACAGTAAACTTTGTCATTTTTTTAGTTGGGAGAACCTCCGTTGTTGGAAAGCGGATCTTTTGTGGATTTTTTTTAATATCATGAATCAAATATAGCACTTTGAAGAAGTCGAAGGGTATTGGGTGGCAATTACTTTATATACAAATTTTATATGCATTTCCTTGAAATGCAATACTCTACCCTTCTGTTATTTATTGTAATTCATGGTGCGTTCACGTGCTATGGAAAATATGATACTTGTGAAATGTTATTTACCTGGTGTTGCGTTCAAATGCTTTTGTTGTCGTAATGTGGTAAAAAGATGGAGATCCAGAACTGTTATTTAACTAAAACTATTTCAGATTGTTTAAGTCATCTGCAACAGCAAGAAAATAATTTATCAAAACTCAAACGGTAAATGATATGCAGTATATTTTCGAGATCATGAATAGTACATATTTTTACCATTCACGACTCTTGCGTTGCTCTCCGCTATTTTGAAAAGGTCAAAGGTTATCTCATCTCGGCAACTCGTGCATAAAAATATTCTACGAGTTGCCCAGTGGAAAATACCACATGAGGGGGTGTTCGTGTGCATTTTAAACGTCGGCTTTTGGTATTAACCATAATTACTATAGCATGTAAACGCACCATTCCAACCGTTCTTTTCCTCGAATCTGATTGGATGAGAGATGTTCCCCCAGTATCAGCACTGCAACCGTTTCACCGTTTGTATCGCTCCACTTGAGGCAACCGTCATGGCGAATCTGCCATATTTTAAAAAAAATACTACTGTTGTTGTGTCACTAAATGTAGTTTTAGTAGTTTTTTTTAAGGCAAAGAATGTATTTTATACCACAAATATGTGACTCATATATAAACATAGCGCCTATTGAGACGGTTTGGCAGGTGTGAGCTCCAGTCCAGGCCATCAGAGAACCGCTTCATCTCGGCCAGTCCTTCGGGAATTAACCACTGCCTCTCATTATATGTAGATAGAATTCATTTCGCCAATATCAAACGGGCAATCTTTGGTCTAAACGGGCAATCTTTCTGGATTAAGGGGAAAAATAAGTTTCAGAACTTCTTATTTAGGCTTTTTAACTTAAATCCTGTAGCAGATTGCTGCTTTTGTACGTTTTGACTGAATTGTTTTCTTGTGTTAATTTGCTATTGTCTTTTAAAATGGCGATTACTGTTCATTTAAATATTGTTGTTCAATAAAGATTATTTTATATAAATAATATACCGTATTTAGTATTGAGAAAGAGTCAGTTAGTGATCGTGAGTTGGACGTCAGTGAATGTTACATTATTACGCCATTAGATGGTGGAAAAGAGAGACTGGTTGTAAACAAGGAATACGATTTGGTAATTCAAACTGATGTTTAGTAATGAATTTAATATTATGGACATCGACCTGAAGAATGAATGCTGTATCAGATGCAGTGTTGGGTGCAACTAATTACCAAGTAACTAGTTACTGTAATTTAATTACATTTCCATTGAAAATGTAAAGTAAGGGATTAGTCTTAATTTATCTGTAATTTAAATACAGTTACTTCTGATGTAATTGAGGTAAATACTGTGTATAGATCAATCCGATCTCACAGCGATTCGTATGCATGCATTTTATGAGGTGTTTAAATCGTACGACCGCACTCGTACAAATTCATATGAATTATTGTACAATATGTATGAAAAAAGTGTGAAATGTCATGAGATCAGACATAAAACAATAGTGGGGTTAACATCAAAATGTATTGTCTGATGTTTAAAAGTATGTTTTTATAATGTAACCTTCTCCACCTTGGTCAGTTTAAGGATAATTCATGCAATTTTTTAGTATTTATTTGAAAGAATTAAAACAGATTCATGTCTATCCTTGTATTATTCAGCTGGTTGAGATTGATATGGGATTTTGAAAGTAATTAAAAGTAATTAAATACTTTTTAGAGAGAGTAATTAGTACAGTAATCTAATTACACTGTTGAAGAGGTAATCAGTAACTAGTAATTAATTACTTTTTTAGAGTAACTTACCCAACACTGATCAGATGCAGGTAATACACTCGTTTAGTCGATCTCTCTCTCATAATACACTACACATAATACATTGAGCTTCAATGAAGCGACTCAACATTCCTTCGTCACTCTTACTCCTGTGAAATTACTCATAAAATAATAATAAACCTTCCTAATAAAGCATTTCTGTGGCTGACAATGAACATTAGAGCTCAACAATTTAACGTACATCTGATTTAATTTCACTTTGTTCATTATTTGTTACTTCTCCCAACCAAGATTAGAAAGGGCCTAAACAAATGTTCTATGGATAAATTATGGATAAAGGTGAGACATGGATATTGTGTGTCAATTGACAGTAAAAAATAGAATTAAAATAGAAAAATAGAAATGTTTTACTAATATTTCTTCATGAACAAGCCCATGATTGTTTTGGTGTGAAATATCATGCCAGATCATTTAAGGAAATGCAGTTCTTACCCTTGAGAAATCATAATGTGGTTCATATTGACCTCCAACACCATAGTTAGCAACCTAAGATGCAAACGAATTCATAAGAAGAGTCAGTTATCCAATCAGAACAGAGCAATTCCTTATCACATAGGCAAACAAATCGTGTGCCTTTTACCACAATGCAATGCATCAAACCCAAAACATCGATTTTGATTTGTGTTTAAATACCTGGAGAGGCTGTAAAAAATTGTAACTTTTGTGTGCATAAGTTTCAACTCTTTATTTTACACATCTTAAACGTACATACTAAAGTATTAACAGAAAATTATGGATAATTACAAGCCTAAAACCAAACCCCAACCCGAATTATATAGCAAGTACACGTTAACTAATATTACTCAGCACGTATTTCTATAATTGCACTGCAGCAAGGGCACCTATTCTACATTATACTGGTGTGTATGGAGTATTTGGGACGAATCACCTGTAGCAGTTCTGCAGTGTCCACCGTTAATCCAGTGATGTCCTCTATTCTCTGATTGACCCGCGCGATCACCGGATCTTCTTCTCCTTCTAACCACGCGCTGTAGACGCACCAGAACACAAAACATTAATGACAAAAGCACGGCCGAATCTCATTACAAACAAGTACACTTATTATATGGGTCATGAACTGGAACCCCTTTGCTGTCACCCCCCTTTTTGAGAATGGGGGTTAAAATGCACTATTCAAACTTAAATGGTTGTAATTTAAGAATGCTTTGGAATATTTATACCCAAGTTTGGTCTTGTTTTAAAGAAAACACTCAGCAGAATATTGCTGAAGTGAAAACACTTCACAAAATGAAAGTATGAAAAAGTTATGGAAGTTTAAATTGACAGAAAATCAAATATACTGCACTATATATTTTATATTTTATACAAAACATATATTTTACAAAATATTTTTTACTCTAACATTTCTATAAAATCAAAGCCATACATCTTATCAAGTTGTGTTCCAAATTCGAAGTTGATATCACAAAAATTGAAGTTCCCATGAGATTTTGTTTAGGCGTAGTACCAAAAATAGCCACCGGGTGCCATTGAATTCCTTTGAATTTAGTTGTATACATTCTGCCTTAACAAATTAATACATTTCTGTCCAAATATCAATTCTGTCACAAAATTTGGAACCTTGAGACTCTGACATTTCTGACAATATCAGTTTTGTCAAGATTAGAAAAGGTTTGGATCATAAATTATGAAATATAATGATGCCCAAAAGGGGAGGAGCCTGATAAAATAAGTACCGTTTCTATGGTAACGCAATGTTCAATTATAAAACGGTTTTCACACGATGAATTCTGAGTTTATAAGCTTTCAAATGATACCTAATTTATGATAACTACTAAAATATGTGATATAATAAAAAGGCGATAAAAAATAATATTATATTTTAGAGGATAATAAATATAAATATCATCATTTTTAGAGGATGAATATTATACTATAATTTTCTATTTTTTATTGAAAAATACTAGATTATATGTTTTATTTAGCATAAAAACGGAAGTTTCAATGATTAAAAGTGGGTGCATCGACTTTTTGTGACAAAGGTCAAAACTCCTGTTATGATGCAGATTTTTTGAGGTGCACTCTTGTCATAAATTCATCAATTACTCTTCCTACATAATTTTTAACACAAAACAGGGGTAGAATATAGAAGTCTTAGACCTTTCCAACGATATATAATTTGTCATAATTAGATTAGGATTTAATAGAAATATAGTGAAGTAAAGTTAGGTGTCCCGGTACTGGGACGGTGACAGTTAAGGGGTTAAAAAAAATGTATATTGTTGTCTGAGGTCAAGTCATGACGATCGCTTAGTTATTACATTAAAAAAAAACATCAAAACGAATGAGTAATAATGAGTAATTTTCCATTTTCTAGCCCAGCTCAAAAACGCCCGGTTTTTATGGGCGTCTCGCACTGAAGACTTGAAAGTTAACGCCCACTGCTGTGAGTGGATTACAGTTTTGCATATTCTATACCTTTATTTAACCAGGAAATCCCATTGAGATTCAGAATCTCTTTTACAAGAGAGACCTGGCCAAGGTAGCAGCCAAAACACAACACATACATACATAATAAACACCATATTATACATAATAAAAGTTACATTTTCATGATAAATATTATAATGAGTTTCACTCTCGATTCGGTGTGGTGAAGAGATGAGTCCCCCTGAAGAGATGGGTCCCACCTTAGGACCCCATAGTATGCCTGATCTAAATATGTTCTCGCTATAACTTGATAAAAGCAGTTGTTGCCATCAAGTAATACGTTTATTTTGTTTAGCGCTTTTCATAGTAGTTTGCGTCAACAGCAGAGGAGAAAGTCCGCGAAATGTAAAAATATTACTCTTATTGTGTCATGAAATGTAATTTTAAGAGTAGTTGTTTAAAGCTCAAATATGTGGTTTATTTACTATAAGTACTATCTATTTTTTATCTACTATGAAAGCGAACTAAAAAACACTAAGAACGAGAAATGTTTAAATTTACAATCTACAGCTTTGGTTATATACTAGTGAAACATACAAGTTAAAATACATTAATGACCCGTTATAAAGTAATTCAAACGTCTCTTATAATAAAGTGATTTTTTCTAATTTGTAACCAGGCACTAAAGCGATTACCCATAAAACTAGCTTTGAAGCTTGGGTCCTAAGGTGGGACCCATCTCTAGTCTTCACCACACCGGTTTGTCATCACGAGGTAGGCATCTATGTCATTTAGCTATGCGAATCGGTGGGCGGAGCTTTATGGTGGGGTTTTATCCTCTTTGTCGTCATAGTTCCCCACTTTGAAAAACGAGTCGTTTGCTGAGGCTGGTGTCAATAACTATTTTTATTGGACTAACAAGGACGTTTTCAGTTCTGAAACTTACAGGATATTCTTATAATATGATGACCTCTTAGATGTCAAAAGCTCAAGGAAAATTTCATTTCTCAGTTCATCAGCCCTTTTAGGGGTGAGCACAATGACCAAATCACAGACTTGACTTTTTTTTTTTACATCACAGTAAAGGCATGTCTCGTAATCTGGCTATTTTGCTGGAAATTGAATGAAGAAACCAGCAATATCACCATGACCAAGAGCAATGTCGTTCTAAATATCAGTATCTAAGCACAAGATCATCGTCTTCTCATCTTCACATTAGTTCATGCTTCTTTTCCATTCTCTGCTAATTAAACCATCTTAAAGGGACTTTTTCGTTTGGAAACAGGCTCATTTTACAACTCCCTCAGAGTTTTACCATTTTCCAATCCATTTAGAAGAAATATCACTAACCAGACAGTTTCTGGTCCCATTGACTTCTAGAGTAGAGTATATATTTTTTCTACTAGGGAAGTGAATGGGACCAGAAACTGGTTACTGATATTCTTCTAAATATCAGAACATCGGCTGAATGGATTCGAAAATGGTAAAACTGCTCTCTTATTAGCCTATTTCCCAAAAATTGTTTGCTGGTTGTAGATTGGCCAGGCTAGAATACACTTTGAGCACTGACATCTATTGTAATATAAATGGTATGGCAAAATCAGATAGCAGATCTATCATCATCATATCCCCCAGCCCTAGTTACCTCACCTTATGCTCCAATAAAGCCAGGCATGAACACCATTAAAAGATCTGATGTATATGAGATGTGCTCACCTTTTGGAAACTCTATAATGGGCAACCGTCAGAACGCCGGTTTTAGGATCTCTCACGGTGGCCCTCGCAAGCTACAGACAATAAACATTATTAGCTTTGAGACTGAACCAGAATAAAGTGCAGAATATTCCAGTTTCTGAGATTACAAAATGTAACAGGATAGTTCATCCAAAAATAAAAATTGTGTCTTTCCAAACAAGTTTTTTATTTATTTATTTATTCTGTGTGATGAACAGACCAAAGCGTCAGTAGTTGATCTTAATTCCAGTCAAACCCAGCATTCATAGCTTGCAGACATAGACTGTCACATGTAGTAGTAAGCAAATGCAACATTTTTGTGAAGAGGAAATGAAAAGTTCGACAGACATGGTCACCATGAACTGCTACTGTTGTACAGAAAACATAACAGCATACAGACTTGAAATGACAAAATATTAAGTAGTAAAAGTGAGTCTTTTAAGTTTAAAGGGTTAGTTCAGCCAAAAATTAAAATTATATCATTAATGACTAAAGATATTTTAGATTTAGTCCGAGAGCTTTCTGTCCCTCCATTGGAAATATATGTGTACGGTGTACTGTCCTTGTCCAGAAAGGAAATAAAGACATCATCAAAGTGGGTTAGTTACAATGTGTTGAAGCATCGAAAATACATTTAGGTCCAAAAATAACAAAAACTGCGACTTTATTCAGCATAGGCCTACTTCCTGCTTCTGGAATGCGGAGTAGGGATACAGAACTTCCGGTGGACAGTATTTCTCGATAAGGATTTCGATTATCAGCCCTAATGTCTAAACCATCCGAGGTAGACTGAGCACGAGCTATGAGGTTGCGAAACGAAGGTTTTTGCTCCTGTTGAAGCTATAAGTTTGTATGAAATCAACCTTGTTTAACCCTCAGGTGCTCTTCGGTCATTTCTGACCTAAAAAATATTTTTTTGACATTTTTGAAATCACAGCTTCATCGGAATGTTACGAAACTTGGTGACTTTTATGGCATTGGGTATGTAAATACAAAAAAAATTGAGGTCATGATCCGAAAAATGACCAACCATAGGAAATGAAAGGGAAATTGAAAAAAATAAATAAAAAATTCTCTGAATTTTTGTACGTGCAATCTACACATCGGCCAAAATTCTAAAAAAAAAAAAAAAAAAAAGGACACCACAGGAAAGGGGTGACACTCTACAACATCTAGAGTGCAAAACAGACACACCCGCCAACACACACACACATACAAACACACTTTTATACACTTACACACCAATAAATTTGGAAAAAAAATTCTGTTTGAATTTTTAAAAATCACAGCTTCATCGGGATGTTACGAAACTTGGTGACTTTTATGGCATTATGTATGTGAACACAAACAAAAAATTGAGTTCATGATCTGAGCATGCTAAGTGGTCTTAAAAAAATAGTCACACTTGTGGTCTTTGGTCAAAAATGACCCCCATTGGAAATGAATGGGAAATTGACAAAAACACAAAAATTCACAATTTTTTATTTATTTATTTTTACATTTTTTTTTTAAATAAAAAATCGTTTTTGAGATTGTTTCAACTATATATTCAAATCCACCACCACCACCACCACCACCAAAAAAAAAAAAAAAAGTGTTCATAAACATCTGGGGAATTCACATGCTTCTCCATAGAGAGCTGTACATGCCATCTAGTGGTTAAACCATGATTCTACGCTTTTTCTCTATACTGTAACCAGATACCAGATGGTATTTCCATGGCAAAAATAGACCATAAATATTGATAAATTGAATCAAAATGTCTCAAAATACTAAATTACAAAGAATAAATATTATAGAACAAAAATAAATTGCATTGGTTTTACTGGGATGGAGGAAATGTAATTTTTAGGTGCCCGGTCACTTTTGACCGGGAAGATAACAAGTGTGACTCCGAAACAAAGAGCACCTGAGAGTTAAAGAAAAACATGTTATATCCGCGATCTTATGAAAGAAAACTACACTACCCACAATCCTAAGCGTAGCAGCAACGTCTGCTGATTGGTCTAACTCGCTGTTACAAAAGAAATGTTTACCTTACTGGCGAACGGCTAGAGCTATCAGACACATGTGATGCGAATCCACAACAGAACTGGAAGACGACACAATGCTGAATAAAGTCGTAGTTTTTGTTATTTTTGGACCTAAATGTATTTGCGATGCTTCAAAACATTGTAACTAACCCACTGATGTCACATGGACTACTTTGATGATGTCTTTATTTCATTTCTGGACAAGGACAGTATACCGTACACACATTTCCAATGGAGCGATAGAAAGCTCTCGGACTAAATCTAAAATATCTTAAACTGTGTTCTGAAGATGAACGGAGGTCTGACGGGCTTGGGACGAGATGAGGGAGAGTCATTAATGATTTAATTTTCATTTTTTGGGTGAACTAACCCTTTAAGCTTTACATGTTTGTTTTTAGATGTCATAAACGGGCAAAAAAAATGGACTGCAAACCTGTGAAAACCTTGAAAGGTTGTCAATGCAGATGTCACTGTGATTCATTTTCTCAGTTTGTTTTCACAATGAAAATAATGTAAGTGGGTAAAGTTAAGGATTAAATTAGCTAATGCTTTTCGAATGACGTCTTTAGCTTAGTGGGTTTACTATAGGAGAACAACGGTGCAGTAACATTTATCTTCTATTGACCCAAAAAAAGTGAGATTTTATACATTATAATCACAGATAAAACGTTAAATCTGTTTGGCTCAAAAGGCTAGTAAATAGTTTCAATACGGTTATCGACTGTTTTCATAGAGTTTTGTTGTTTTACAGCATCTCTTTATTGTATAATTCCTATCAACACTGAGCCAGAGTTGACTATGTGATTTTTCTTTACATCATTTTTGGATGAACTATTCCTTTGTTAACTGGTCTACTGGTTTCATCCTGACCTTGGGTTTGGCTAACTCCTTGATCTTCTCGATCTCTTCGTCAGACAGGGCTTCCAGATAGCGGACGATGTGAGGACTGTCCCACTCATCCTCCTCCTTCATCGGCTTCAGCAACAGACGCGGGTTCCTGTTGCCGTCCTGATAACGGCAGAACAGTCTGCTGCGTCTCCTCAGAGTCTGTGCGGAGATCCAGATTAAATGAATAAAGCTTCCCGACAGCTTATTAGGAGGATTTTCATTTATCGAAACTTGATCATTCAAATTTATAAAGTTTTAAATTAGGTTTAGATAAATGGAATTATATGGGGCGAGAATGAACTGAAAAAAGGAAAAACATTAAACTACATATATGTGAATAAAAGCCTCTCCTCAGAAATTTTGGGAGTAAACAACTCGAATCATGGATTAGTTTTACAATCTTCTTATGAACTTTTTGAAGTGGTAGGGATCACTCAAATCTCTGATTTTATCAAAAATATGTTGCTGAGGTTTAATTTTTGGGAGAATTATCCCTTTAAGCACTAAATCATCATATTAGACTGATTTCTGAAGGATCACATGACATGGGGGAATGACTGCTGAAAATGTATCTTTGCCATCACAGAAATAAATTACGTTTTATACTATATTCAAATGGAAAGCAGTTCCATTCATTTATAATAATAAGGGCATGAGAGATTTTTTTTCAGATATCTTACTGATCCAAAACATTTGAAAGGTAGTGTACATATAAATATATTTACAATAAACAGTTTAGACACTGTGCAAACTTTTAAGTGCAACATTTAACATTTTTGCTTTCGTAAGCTGATGTTATTTAAGGAGTAGTTCACTTTTAAAAAAAACTTTAGCTGATAATTTACTCACCCCATGTCATCCAAGATGTCCACGTCTTTCTTTCTTCAGTCGAAAAGAAAGTAAGGTTTTTGATGAAAACATTCCAGGATTTTCTCCATATAATGGACTTCAATGGGGACCAAACGGTTCAAGGTCCAAAAAGACACAATCAGTGCAGACTGCAAACTGTTCAAAGGGCTTTAGGCGATGAATAAAGGTCTTATCAAGCGAAACGATCACTCATTTAAAAAAAAAATAATGACAAAGTTTTAGTTTTATAAGCTCAAATGCTCGCCTTGCTCTGTTCTGTGATGCGCGTTCGTGACTCTCCTGTTCGAACTCGTTCATCAAAATGAACGAATCTTTTCCCGAGTCAACTCGTTCATTTCATTCGTTGAATGAACCAAATTACAGGAAAAAAGACTCGTTCATTTTGATGAACGAGTTCGAACAGGAGAGTCACGAACGCGCATCACAGAACAGAGCAAGGCGAGCATTTGAGCTTATAAAACTAAAACTTTATTATTTATTAATTAAATGAGCGATCGTTTCGCTTGATAAAACCCTTATTCATCGTCTGGAATCATTTAAAGACCTTTAAACAGTTTGCAGTTTGCACTGAAACTGTCTTTTGGACCTTGCACCATTTGGTTCCCATTGAAGTCCATTATATGGAGAAAAATCCTGGAATGTTTTCATCAAAAACCTTCATTTCTTTTCGACTGAAGAAAGAAAGACGTGGACATCTTGGATGACATGGGGGTGAGTAAATTATCAGCAAGTTTTTTAAAAAGTGAACTACTCCTTTAAGTGCAAATAATTCAGCAACCACATTTACCGAATCCTCATGCATGATTGCTCACCAGCTTGACGCCCTCTCCCCTGCACAGCGCCTCGTAGACCTCTCTCTCGGGCAGGTAGTCTTTGGGCCGCTTGTAAGTGTCGAGCTGAATGGGCCTCTCGTCCGCGGGCTCCTGTTGGCTGCGACCCATGTCCCTCAGCTCCTTCGAGAGCAGACGCTCAAAGTAGTGCAGATTTCCTCCTGCCCTCTGGTGGCTGGGATCTGCACGTACACACAGCATAGGACACGCATTACTCGTGAAGAAATTTAAAATCATAAACAGAGCTCAACAAGTGTCTCAGCTGAAGGGAATAATACCTTATTTATCGGCTTTAATATATCGGCCACATTTTCTTACCAGGCCGATAATATTAAAAATGAACATATATCGGCCGATACCGATATGCTGGCCGATATATTGTGCATCTCTAACTCCAACGCATTCGTGACACTCCTGTGATTAAAGGCGGCACCTCCAGTTTACTTCCCACCGGAGCCGCGCTTTCGATTTCAAAATAATGGCTGCGTGAAATCAACGTATTGGGTGAAGCGGTCATAGACATGTTTTATTGGGAATAAAACACAGCTATTGACCAATCAGAATCAAGGACTGGATAAAAAAAAAAACGATATTAATTAAATTATAAAATTCATCACACACTCAAGAAAGAGAGACAATGGCCTACCGATGGCCACCAAGCGTCGGGTGAGTTCGATGGCTCGTGGCAGATCCCCCATCTGATAGACAGAGTAACTGAGATAATCTAAAACATCAGCCTTGCTCGTCTTGGCGTCTTCTCCCGAGTCCATCTGTCTCAGCGCCTGCTGCATCCACAGCACTGAATGATAGTAGTCATTCTCATTGTAGGCCAGTTTCCCCATGTCAAAGCAGTCATCCACCGTCAACAGAGCATTGTAGCGCACCCCTGTGGACAGAACGTCACATCATTTATGACCTTCATATTGGAAATCTGGCTGATTTGCTTATTATCTTTTCAGGACAATTTACATAAAGCAAATAGTTATTCACTGACATACTAAAACTTCAGGCTTGTTCACAGACAGCACAGAATGACGCACAGTTGAACGTGTCTTTTTCAAGAGAAAGGAGCAAAACAAAGAATATTAGAGCAAGACCGATATATCGGCAGGCCGATATTAGGCATTTTCCAAACTATCGGTATCGGCAGTTATAATGGCGGATAAATGAATGTCAAAAATAAAATAAAAACGGAGGAAACACGCTTGAACCATGTCATGAGTGTTGGAGTTGTATAGTTTGTCCACCAGAGGGCGCTCTACACCGTCCCTGTTGGCAACACTCATTGAGTTGATCACGAGACATACATTGCTTGAATAACAATTAAAAGAACATCCCAATCAGTTCTCTCAACTCAAATAAGCATGACAAAATTTGTGACTATCATGTCCAGTTTTGCTGCTGTTAAATAAGCCGAGAGTGAAGCGGAATTAGCTTGTAATAGTTACGTTACGTTGTTAGTGTAGTTGACTGACTGTCCTTTTAACTTTTGACAATGTGACTGAAGTATTTCTTTAATAGCGCGTGACAGTTTTAGCAATGAGACGCATCATCTCTCCTCGGCCTGTTATATAGAAAATGTATGTTTTACAATTTGCAGTATGACGTAATCCATTGCTAAATTATGGCTCATCATAGACTAGCTAACCACAAAGCTAGCTAATACCACTATCATCAGTCTGTTCTGTTGTGTTTAAAATGGATTATCATTTTATTTTAGTTAAAACTCATAATTAACTACAAATAACTAATGTTAGGAAATCTGTTAATGTTTTGTTGCGCGTTTCTGAAATTAAAAAAAATATCGGCCGATATATCGGAATATCGGATTTTAAAACCAAAAAATATTGGTATCGGCCTTCAAAATCCTTTATCGGTCGGGCTCTAAAGAACATTCTAAGTTTTGATAGATGAATATAATGCCATATTACCAAAACAAGGTATAATTCCAATTTGAAATAGAGGGATTGAGTTAGAGACTCCAAATTTGCTATGATGACAGTTTAGACGGTCCTCTATCAGTGTGCCAAATTTCATAACTTTCCCCCAAGCGCTTTTTATGGGGTGCCATACACTTCCAGAGCAGAAGAAGAAGAAACGAAATAAGAAGAACGCCAATAGATACAATAGGTGCTTGGTGACCTAATAAAAACTAGCACATAAGCACATACATTCACTAAAAAATCTTTAATATCTTCAACTTCTTACTAGAACATGACTTCGTCATGAAGACGCTACTGAAGTCTCAGAAACCCATTGCACTGTATTTGATTTGTTCCCCATGTAAAGAGTTGCACTGATGGGTTTCGTTTTATCCCCGTGAGCCCTGTATAAAATGAACACAAAGAGATCTGGAGTTACCCGCGTGCTGCCTCTGACCTGGCAGTTTGCCTTTGGAGAAACTCTCCGAGTCCAGTTTATACGTGTCCTGCAGACGCATGAGCGCTTTGGCTGCTCCCTTCTCATCCTCCTCATCAGGGAAATACTGTCTGTGCATCGACATGTTTGATATGAAGCCTACAGAGGGAAAGAGAGATAGAAAAGGGAGCTTTGTGGAGGTGTTTTTTTTATTATTTGAACATGGCTTGAAGAAAACAATTTAAGAATGAAATGACAGTGCTTTGCCCAATGAGAATCAAGTACAATACACCAATGGCAGTAATATATGGTCAAATATTTTTGAATAATGAGTTTAAAGGAAAAGTCCGGTCAATTTTGACATTGAGCTCATTTATTTGTACATTTGGAGTGCTGTCAGTAGAGAGAAAAACGACAAAAATCGGTGTTGCCTACACCGTGTTATTGTCTTTTTTAAATTTTCACCCTGTTGACTTCAATGGGGCATGTTGTAAACCTGCTTTTAGCCTCTTAACCTCCTTCATTTGTCATTACGAGTGCACAGCCATGTGAGTGGTGTTATTAAGAGTGACCACGGTCAATCCGACTGCGGGAGACGTGAAAGATATTAAAGGAGAACTCCGGCGCAAAATGAACCTTTAGTCTAATTACACATTGTTACCTAGTCAACCGTTATCTGAGATTTGTTTTCATGATTGCCGAATGTAAATAGTTTTATCTCTAAAAACAGTTTAGCCTATAACGCTAGTATAACGCTAGTATATAGGGCATAGAGTAAAAATAAAAATCGCTTGTTATTACCACTAACAAGGCTCAAAATAGCCCCACACTAACACAACAGCATAATAAGGGTCCCTACATTCAAACCGAAGCATTGAGATCTTTGTCAGTGTCCACACAGTTTAATAAGAAGATATTTTATACACACAGTCAACTTCACGAATACAGTAAGAAGCCATCTTTGAAAAATAGTCTCTACCAGTCGATCTACGAGCGCCGATCCAAGTGCGCTGAACTGTGCAGAATCTCATATGGTCCGTTGTTTCCAGAAGAAACACAAACACAAACCGTTTTCTTCTCTTCAATATGTACACGTAGACTACTGCTCGCGCTCACCTTATCACCTTATTCACATCTCACCAGCGCACTTGGATCGGCGTTCGTAGATCGACTGGTAGAGACTATTTTTCAAAGTTGGCTTCTTCCTGTATTCGTGAAGTTGACTGTGTGTATAAAATATCTTCTTATTAAACTGTGTGGACACTGACAAAGTTCTCAATGCTTCGGTTTGAATGTAGGGACCCTTATTATGCTGTTGTGTTAGTGTGGGGTTATTTTGAGCCTTGTTGGTGGTAATAACAAGCGATTTTTATTTGTCATTACTCTATGCCCTATATACTAGCGTTATACTAGCGTTATAGGCTAAACTGTTTTTAGAGATAAAACTATTTACATTCGGCAATCATGAAAACAAATCTCAGATAACGGTTGACAAGGTAGCAATGTGTAATTAGACCAAAGGTTCATTTTGCGCCGGAGTTGTCCTTTAATAAAAATGATGTAAATTCAGCCAGCTCACATACCTCTATTTGCTTCCTGTTTTCGGTCGAAGCCCACAGTAGTCGATTGTCGAACTCACGTGCGTGATCATTGGTGAATATCATGTCAAACCTCCTCCATGTGTTCAACACCTGATTCGGATGAACTATCCATTTGAGCTGATATTCTCAGGACTCCACACAGCACCGTCATCGGCGACGCGAGACTCCACTGTTGCTTAGTTACCAATGATCGCATGCGTGAGATCAACAATCGACTACTGTGGGCTTCGAACGAAAACAGGAAGCAAATAGAGGTATGTGAGCTGGCTGAATTTACATAATTTTTATTAATATCTTTCACATCTACTGTAGTCAGATTGACCATTAAACAGTCGAGTTTTACCGTTTTCGAATCCATTCAGCCAATTTTCTGATATTTAGAAGAATATCAGTAACCAGACAGTTTCTGGTCTCATCGACTTCCATAGTATATTTTTTTCCTACTATGGAAGTCAATGAGACCAGAAACTGTCTGGTTACTGATATTCTTCTAAATATCAGAAAATCGTCTCAATAAATTCGAAAATGGTACAACTGAACTGTTTAACTCTGGGGGAGTTGAAAAATTAACCTAAAAAGTTGAAAATTGAGCCAAAAAAAAGTGGAGTATCCCTTTAACTGTAAAACTGACTGATTTCCTGCTCTTTCCAGCTGTGGTAGTTGTATGTCACTTGCTCGTTCTTCTCACATTAGTATGTCATAATAATCTGCTTCATGTTGGGGTCCTGATATCCTACTTCCAGTGACTGTACATGATCCTTGACTTTCATTTTAAGTGGAAACATTCTCAAGAACTCCACATGTCGACACGTTGCAACGCGTGCTCACACAAGTTCACATTAGGGTGAGAGTTGAGCATCTGCAGTGACTGACTTTATTCACAAACAATCAGGCAGATGAGCAGTTTGGGTTGTATTTGTGTTGCATTTTTGATCATCTTGGTTTCTCAGAACGTTTTTTTCTGAGCAAGACAGAGTGAACCGAGACGCTAACAGTTTCATAAATGTGCAGGTACAACAGTAATATTAAACTGTCCGTAGTATTGCTGCAGAAATAATGAAGCTTTTGGGGTCTGTTTTAGTAATTTGTTAATGCTTTTACACTTTTAAATTTCCTTTAAAGTTTTCAAAGGTTGAAGGGTAAGTAGGATTGTGTCATGTCATTATACCCAGGATTTGAAAATGCTTATTATCATGTTCATAGAGCAAACCTTTGACTGACTGTTCACAGTTTAACAGAAGTTACTTCCATAATTTGCACATGCATCATGGGGACAGACTGTACCATCTGATGGGTCTTGAAGCACCAGGCTCTCCAACTCCGACCACTCTGTGTTGAGTCTCTTCATCAGCTTGTAGGCGTTCACCGGGTGAGCCAGGAAGCCTTCGGGGTCCGACGTGGATGCATGTGTCAACAGATCTAGTTTATTAGCCCAGCTGAAGCCAGCAAATGGGCACCAAAAAAAAAAAAACACACAAATGAGTAATGGGTTCACGTTAGGCTGCACGATTCTTGCTAAAATGTGAATCACGATTTTTCTCCATGGGAATTGAGATCACGATTCTCTTACACTTGCCATTTTTTCAACCCAAACAACAAAAAAACAACAAAAATCACAGGACATTCAGCATAATAAAATGCACGAGTAAGTCACGTGTAAAACAAGTCATTCAAAAAATATATATTTTAGATAAAGATTCACCTCTTTACAGCTTCAAGTTTCATCTCTTCCGCCTCAATGTATTCTTTCAGTGATTTGACGAGCTCTCTCTCTGTATATATCAGGTCTGTCATTTGGCCTATGAAAGGAGGTGGAAAAGTTTTACCAAAAGGAAAAAAAAAAAAAGAGCACAAGACCAAAAAAAGCACATGATTTGGCAAAATTTACCATCCACCATCCATTTACCTACCACATGAAATGTGGAACACTTTGGGAAATATTTACATTTTTAATATTTCAGCTGTCGAGGCATAAAGTGTTGATTCTTGCATTATATTTAAATCTACTCCCATTGCATTGTACAGTGTAAACAGCATCATTGAATGGGGATTTTGGTACAGATAAAGTCTTGGTTTGAAGCATTCTTTAATTGCTTTCAGTATATAAAATCATAATTTAGAATGTAGCTGCAAACATCCATCACGGGGCCAAGCCCTTCCAATGGTCCCATGGGTTACAAAAGTAGCTAAAAAATACATTGGTTTCAAAACTTTAAAAATAACTAAAAAAAAAAAAAAAGTAGCACAATGAGATCAATGGGTTCAAGAAGTAGCTAAAATAATACTTTGGGGGTTTTTACATTTCTTTCTTGATGTTGATATCTGTAAGTTCTTAAAAAATTTTGACAGAACATTGGTAAAATCATTCCGGTAACAAGGGTTTAAACATGCTTTTGTTTGGAAATTCGGTAATTAAGCTTAATGGGTCTCAGAGATGACCGACTTTTGTTTTGATATGGAAGAGAGATTCAAGGTGAGAATGGACATTTTTAAATGACCAAAAAACATTTCAATTGAGAGTCAAATAAAGTCTTGAATAGGGTTGGGTATCGAGAATCGAGTATCGATTGGAACCGGGACTAACTTTTCGTTTTTCCCGGAATAGTTCAAAAGTTAAAATTTCAATTCCTAGTTTCGATATTCACAGTCCGCCGAGCGGAAGAAGAAACCGCTGAACAACACCAACGAAGAAGCGTCTACCGGAAGTGTTGGCATAACCGCGTACCTTACGTCGGCGGTCCAAAGTGTGGCTTCACTTTTCTAAAAATTTACGAAATCTCGGCAAAATGCAAAATTTGTGACAAATATTTGTGACAGAAGGAGTATTTCCTTCAGAAAGACCGTTGGTTAGCAAGGTTAGCTAAACTTTTTTGACCCTGCCTCTCAAAAGAATCGAAATCGAGAATCGTTAGGAACCGGAATCGAAACAAGGAATCGGAATCAGAATCGTTCAAATTCAAACGATACCCAACCCTAGTCTTGAATGAACTTGGCATAAAAGTACTAATTTGGACTTTCCGCCATATGGGAAATAAGCACAGATTTTCGGACAAATTGTAAGTTGTTAGCAAAAATAGCCATTTTTCAGATGTCATGGTGATCTTCCCAAATTTGGCATGGCCTCCTAGATCATGGTTCCAAATTTTAACCTAGTTAACTCGACCTAGTTAAGTTCACAACATCATAACTTTTTTTGACCAGTGGGTATTGAAATTACATTCAGTCATTTCATTTCTTTGCGGCTCGTTCCAAAGATCATTTCTGCCAATTTTCATAAGAATTGGACACATTTTGAAGGAATGAATAGTGAAAAAACAGAATACTGTACTTTTCAAAATGGCCACTATTGTAATAGACGGAGTCTTAATGCATGATGTTGAATGTGATCAATCAGTTGTAATAAGCTTATTTTTTCTAGATCAAAGGGTTTCAAAAGTTATAACTGTTTCAAATGTGAATTCTTTAACTGGTGGTGGCGCTATGGAGTTGACCCTTACATTGGTCACATTACTATTCATTACCATCACTACAAGTGTACCAATTTTCACCATTTTCCTACGGTTCATACGACTGCCATAGACTCCCATTGGGGAGGAATAATTAGCAGAAAACTAACCGAAGCAATACGCCCCTAAATAACAGTTGATTTACATGCTACTAAAAGGAACAGTTTTAAGTTGACCATTTAGTAACTGGCTTGAGTTGTTTTGGCAACTTGGTTTCAATAGAAGCGATTTTTAGACTAATAAGGAAGTTTCCAGAATGATTTATCGCATAATGAAAATAATATTTCTTGAAATGTTTATCATCAGTTTAAATTTCTGCAAAATTAGTAATCACCAAATGAATTGCAAAAGTAATGTTGCCAAAACACTCCCTCATCTGCCACTTTGCAGACAAACAGCTGTGTTGGTGTGGACAAGAAGCTCAAACAAACAGCTAACCCTACATTAGCACTACAAAGCCAAAGAATTGCCACTGTTTGGGGAAATCAACCATCCAATGGTTCACTCACAGAACAGTTGTCTCTGCAAGTTTAATTGCAAAAAAGAATGACTTTATTTAGAAATGTACCGATTGACGTGAAGATTTCGGCTTGCGTGGGTGAAGAGAAGAACAGAGTCAACAGTGTTAGCCCCAGAAACGTTGCCATCGTCAAGCAAAACCTACAAGAAAACCAAAGAGACATTTTAGAAATGTATCCCAGTGGAGTGATGCATCTTTATCTGAACATTGCTGAGGTTGCCAAAATACATTTTGAATAGTGTACACAATACCGGTCAAAAGTTTGGAAACATTTTTTTTTCCAGTCACCAAGGCTGCAAATATATATACTTGCAAGTCTACACATGTGCACGTATTTTATTATTTTTTTTTACAATTGAGGGCAGACATTAAATACCAAGTCATGTCAGAGAATAGACTGCAGAAAGCTCTGGTGTTTAACCACAAATGGGTCAAGAAACAGCTGCAGAGTTTTTCTTGACCAGAAACGATACAAAGAACATTGTGCTTGTGTACTGTAGATTGAAAAACTTGCCATGTATACTAAGCAACTATACAACAATATATGTTTACACAGCAACCAAATCAACTTGCATAGGCAAGAAATTAAATAAAACCTGAGACCAATATATTCAGCTTGATGTCTGACTCAAAGAGTTTCTAAACATGTTCATCACATTTATAAGGATTGATGTCAGTATACCACTATGCATTCATCAGATTACAGTTTATTATAATTTTTTATTACAAATGGATTATACAACTTTTTATGGTTTTAAGAAGTGGAATTAGATGCTGTCATAAACAACAAACGCTTTGGTACAAAATGTGACCAACTCCTTAAACTAATGACCAGTCATTACTGTCAAAGCATAAAACCTGCCAGAGCGAAAGTTTAACTGGGCGTGGGTGAAATTGGTTAAACTCGAAATGGAAACCACAGAGAGAATCCACACGTCTCTTAAACAAGTTCACCAGAGAGACCTCATGATTCCATTCGTTTTTAGATTCACAAAGTCACAATCCAATTCCAACATAATCTGTGTGAAGATTATGCATAAAACTCCTACTAAAATGTTTCCTATTAAAAATTCTCCTATTCTTTTATGGATGTGCTTTTTTAAGGATCAAAATCTAAGCCTTAAGTACTATTCACTCCCATTTTTAAAGCTTGGAAGAGCCAGGATACTTTATTAATATAACCGTGTGTTTGGCTGAAGTAAGAAAGTCATATACACCTAGGATGGCTTGAGGGTAAGTGAAACATGGGGTGATTTTCTGTTTTGGGTGAACTAACCCTTATTGACTTAAGCACTTTGGAAAATAGTTAATCAAACAGTATTACACAGTCAGATTTAATCTACTTCTTAAACATCTGGAGTTCAGATTGACTGCCTTCGCACCTACTTTAAAGGTAAACTCCCATGTAAACAGCTGTGTTTGACTCTTTAGTTGTGCTAATGGTTCTGAATGCTGACAGGTCATTGGACGAACGAAGCTGAGGATTCTTGCTAGTGGGAAAATAGGACACAATTCCCACTTTACCGATGATCTGTATGCTCCATCTGAACAGAGTTGGGAACTCAGATGAATAAACCAGTGTTCACCAAATGATTTGCCTCAAGGCAAATAATGTTACTGTTAGAAAAAGATTGATTATATTTTAAGAGCAAACAAAACTTCCTCTAAACTTTCAAATGTTTCTGAAGTCAGTGCACAAGAGCGATGACGACATCTTCTAGAAAATGTCCTGTCCACCCCATGAGGATTTGCCTTGAGTTTCAGCCGCTGCAGGATATCAGCAAAAAATCTATCAACACTTGACAAAACTATCCATTATTTTACACATTCAGTTGCATTCAGACACAGCTGTTAGCTCTTAGAAATACAGTAAGTTAAATAATATTCATATTCATTAGACTCATCCCAGCAGCTAAAACTGTGAGCCTTGAATTCAAGTGAAAAGTAAAAATGGTAATGGTATATTATATTTATGACACATATAAAGTGTTTAAGGAATGAAAAGAAATATAAAGCAGTACTAAACGTACAGGCTAACGTCTCCACACTTGTTTTACTACAGGGTTTAACTTAACTTACATGAATTAAAACACGGTTTTCATCTCACATTTCACCATCAGCTGATAAGCTGCACTTTCAAACATGCACTAGCCTACTCTGAATAAAAAAACGAATAACGTTAGAATAAGAAACATTGTAGTGTAAAGGTGAAATAGAGGTTTATGTCACTATAACGCTGTTGCATGACATGCAGATTTGTTACAAACAATCGAGTTAAATGAAAACCATTAAACATGTATGAGCTCTTACCTCGTTTTGAGTGTAAAGTAAAGTGTGATGGGGCAGAGCCAGAAAAAGAGTTTTATAAACACCCTGTTTCAGAGGGTTTAACGTTACAGTGATTTTGGTCGCTGCCACGTACAGAAGACCCCATAGACAAACACTTTCCACTCGCGCTCACAATCCTTCTAATAGACGCGCACACGCATTCCACAACTACATGACGACCCACTATATCAGGAAAAACATTTAGCAAACAGCATTTAATGGCGTGAAATACAACATTTTATCATCTGAGGCATATTTGACTACAGCCAGTCTTCATATTAAAAGTCAACGAATCTCTAATGGCATTAAAAGACGACGTGTAAACTCAGAGGAAGGTTAATCAGTTTTCTTGATTCGTCTCTGCGTCGCCTAAAGCCTTAAAGAGAAAACCGTTTAAGCAGATTTTTGATCCTGTTAAGTCCAAATGAAATGCAGGTTGATGGATCTTAATCGAGCCACTGAATTAGAATGTTCTACCTCTAAAGTCGACCATCTGAGATCGACACGACACAAAAGATCAGGGTAGGCTATATACGGTGGTTTACGGTAAAACAAGATTCATGCAGGACTGCACGTTCTCTTTTTGACTTGGGCTCTGGTGAATCATTCAGCAGCACTGTCTGTCAGCAGTGATTATATGGAGGCTATTTGACATTACCTAAGGGGGTAGAATTCCTTTGTTTCAAATAAATAGATTATGATCCACAAATATATTTTAGATATAAATAAAAATTTGATTTGCCAATAAAACCTATATGGGAATAGATTTTTTTATGTCACAAACACAATTCTGACTGGCATTAATTTGTGAATGGGTTTTTGTGTATTTGTGGATGGCTTTGTAAATGGATTTCCACGTGGACTCAAATCAACAAGTACTTGGACTCCACCCACTGTCTACTCAAGCCAATCAGGGGCCGTTTATACTACAGTTTTCAATAACAGAACGTTTTTATGCTATTTGGCCATTTATTTACACAATGGTGTTCAACTTTGAAAATGGGATTCAAAGTACAAGTTTTTGAATATACCAAAAAACCATAGGAAAAAATGCAAATCTGTGAAAACGGTGATGGCATACGCATGGGTATTCAGTCTAAAAAGTGGTGCGGATATTTTTTTTTTTGCTGATTTATGAGTTAAATAAAACCTGTGGAAAACATAACATACTTTGACGTTTCATTGTACAATGCACACTGCACATACAAACCAAGCTGTCTTATGTATTAACTTTTTTAACCCGCAGCTGTTCTTCGCTCATTTCTGACCAAAAAAATTCTGTTTTGAATTTCTAAAAATCACAGCTTCATCGGAATATTAACCCATAAAATGAAAGGGAAATTGACAAAAAAAAAAAAAAAAAAAATTCTCAATTTTTGCACGTGCAATCTACAAACCGGCTACAATTCTAAAAAAAAAAAAATAATAAAAAAAAAAAAAATACACCACAGGAAAGGGGTGACACTCTACAACATCTAGAGTGCAAAACAGGACACACCCACCCACACATACAAACACACTTTTATACACAATACACACCAATACATTTTGATTACAAAAAGTATCTTTTGAATTTTTAAAAAATCACAGCATCATCGTAATATTACAAACTTGGTGACTTTATGTATATGAACAAACAAAAAATTGAGGTCAAGATCTGAGCATGCTAAGTGAGTGGTCTAAAAAAAAAAAGTCTCACTTGTGGTCACTGGTCAAAAATGACCCCCATAGGAAATGAATGGGAAATTGACAAAAAACACACACAAAAAAAAATCACAAATTTTTTATTTATTTTTTACATTTTTTTAAGAAAAAAACGTTTCTGCGAGTGTTTCAACTATATATTCAAATCCACCCCCCAAAAAAAAAAGTTTTCATAAACATCTGGGGAATAATCTGATTTGTTTGCAGTGGTTTCTCACATACTCACAAAACAAAAAGGGCCCTGGATGAGTTCCATATATTGTTTATTATCCAGAAAACACCAATGAAAAAAAAAACAAGCCAATGATGAAGCATGTGTGCAGTTTAAACCCCACCCCTGATGATCTCATTTAATGCCTTTCTGACCAGATTCTCAAACCCTTTGCAACACAATATACTTCAATTTTTACATACAGAAACTTCATACAATTTGGATTTTCAATGCTTTTATTAGAGGAGCGGTTCAGAGATGACATTGACAACTGATTAAAGTTTAGAAGAGATTCGATTTAAGAACACTTGAAATTAGCATAAATGTTCACGTAGGTCCCCGTGGAGTCACACAATCACACATGTCTAACACACAAATATAGGATAATGAGGTTGAACAGGTCTCATCGTTCCAGCAACAGTCAGCTGTAAGGGGGAATAATCAAATCAGTTATTCTGATCATTACAATCAAAAATAAGACTGTTCAACTTTAGGCACTTTGTGAAATCCAAAAATCATACATTTTACTGAATGTAAAAATTGGATAGTAAACATAGTATTGAAAAAGGCTGTATTCTTACAGGTAAAGTTGATCTCCAAACAGTCCTCGGGATGCTGCTGGTAATTGTTGGGTTCTCCAGAGCACCAGTTGGTGTACGAAAAACGCAGATCCATCACTCCACAACCACCGTCCATCCTGAAGAGAGAATATAAGAGTGCACTACTGTTGGCAGACTTCAGGAAGAAGCTTTAGTTCAGATTTGAAGTCAAAACATCTTCATTAGAAACTTTGCCTTTACTTTTTAAAGCAACAATTGTAGTTTAGACAAACAAACAGGTCTCTTTAGGACACACAACTGAACTTACTTGAACAGCATCATGAGCACCAATCCAAGTACGTGTGGAAGGAGAAGGCAACAGACTCAGCAGGAAATCATTTTCCTGTTCATTACGCACAGATGCGAGATTCGCTCCAAGACTTTGACAGTTTTTCTAAAGAGAAAATCAATTTTAGCAGAACACAAGTGACATTTTAGACATTTGCAAGAAAAGTTTGCTCTGATTTACTCAGTACCAGTTTTCTGTGTCAGTTATTTGCAGAAAAGAAAGTTCACTTTACAAAATAACACTCACTTTATAGGAAGGGTTTTATTAATCACTAGGATTTACCTGTTATTAGCAAGTAAAATCTAATTTCTAAAGGACACCTGAACTCCAATACACAATGACTTCAACATTCAATAGATCGTTTGAGAGATTGTGTTCATTTGAATAGAAATTAGCCCAGATTTCACATAATGGCAAGTTACTAAACTAAACTGCAAAAGCAATGAAAGAGGGGAAGGATTCACACCCCAGTGCATGATGGGAACACAAGCATTATAAAAGTGGATTAAGTTTGATCTTAAATTTTCTACACAACTAAACTGAGCTCTAGATCAAATTTCTTTGTATCGTAACTTCTTGCCTGAACTAACTCTTCCTTTTAGAGATTACATTAGTTTTTTCCTGTATTTAATTATCAGCTTAAATTAATCTGACAATGCAGTTGTGTACACGTCTTTACATCTGTGTTTTAGATGTGCTTAAAGACACCTAATATAAAGTGTGTCAATCCTCTCGTGTGAACACATTACCTCCGCTGTGATCCAGTTACTCGCATCAGAAAAGTACTTGTAGCATCCGAGTCCAAATGTCCTCCATTCAGCAGGGCATCTTCCGGCATTTGTGTGATCATCTTCTGAAAACACCATAAACCCCTTATTCATCATGCAAACACTAATCAATGGAATATTGTACATTTCCAAGAGGTTTCTAAATAGCAAGGGTTTTTACAAATAAATGTGTTGGTTACCTTCTGTACTATTCCCCATGGAGAAGATGATGAAAAGAAGCAGACAGCTTTTCAGCATTGCCATGATGAACCTGAAATTAATAAGCAGGAAAAGTTAAATGTCTGCATGCACTCATAAACGCCACACTGAGATCCTCAATGCGTTAAACACAATGTACAAAAACATTTATTCAGAACTCACTTTCAAATTGTTCCTCTCAGAGTCTCAGTGAAAGATTTTGTGACGAACAAGAACCTGTGAAACACTAAAACATTGTCACATCATATGAAGATGGGTAATATTTATACACATAATATCAGGCAATAACTGTCCCGGAGTCATCAGTAACACCTGCCGCACCATCAGCGCCCGATCACCCGACTCCGCCCATCCACTCGTCATCACCAGAGGACTGACTCACCACACCTGCACGCGCTCATTTGACAATTCAACATTTGACTTATGAACGCTTCATGACTTTCTTATTCCTTTTAAAGAATATAATACTGTGCTTAATGCAACGTGTCCAAATATATTTATATTTTTTAGTACCTGTTCGTTTTGCGGTGACGAAGATGAAACATTAAGACACTATGTATTCCTTGCAATTTGGTTTAGAAATTTTGGTCTTATATATTTTCCCCTATTCATGCACACTCCTTTAATTTGAAAGATATTATTTGTTATTATACTGATTCCCACACATCCAAAGAATACATTTTGAATTTTTTTTATTTTATTTGGCAAATTTTTCATCCATGAACAGAAATTTATGAGATCACTTCCTATTTTCTCACATTTTTTGGTTGAAGTAGACTCACTGCTTAAATCTTTTAATTTAACTATAGCAATAAAAAATTTAATAGATTCCTGAACATACATGAAAAAATATTTTGTAATGGATCTGATAGTCTGGATTAAACAGCTTTATATCATACAGTACATTGTTTATTTTATTTGTATTAGCCTATTATAATTATTAGTTTTTTAATGTTTTATAGATAATTATTTTTATGGCACTTGATTTGGAATTATTCTGTATAATTTGTCTTTGTTTTACCTCTTTTATGTTCTCCTGAATATATTTGTATATTTACATGTTTCTTAAAAAAAAAAAATACATAAATACATAAATACATAAATAAATAATGTCTGGAGACATTATTGGAGCCTTATTGAAATTCATACTGTACCCCAGTAAGATCCTGCTGATATTGGAGATTACCTTCAACCCTAACATTTGTTCTGCTCATGTCCTTTGTGTTTCTATCTGCGGTCTATAATCAGATAGCAATGCCAGAATAGTGAATAAATTACTGATCTATATTTAAACAGGTTTAGAACATGATCTGATCTTGTTCATAATTTAGTTTGTCCAAATAATCTGATTTGTTTGCTTTCTCACATACTCACAAAACAAAAAGGGCCCTGGATGAGTTCCATATATTGCTTATTATCCAGAAAACACCAATGAAAAACAAGCCAATGATGAAGCATGTGTGCAGTTTAAACCCCACCCCTGATGATCTCATTTAATGCCTTTCTAATAACCAGATTCTCAAACTCTTTGCAACACAATATACTTCCATTTTTACATACAGAAACTTAATTCAATTTGGATTTTCAATGCTTTTATTAGAGGAGCGGTTCAGAGATGACATTGACAATTGATTAAAGTTTAGAGGAGATTTGATTTAACATTTGAAAATAGTATAAATGTAGTTCACATACGTCCCTGTAGAGTCACACAGTCACACACGTCTAACACACAAATATAGGATAATGAGGTTGAACAGGACTCATCGTTCCAGCAACAGTCAGCTGTAAGGGGGAATAATCAAATCAGTTATTCTGATCATTACAATTAAAATAAGACTGTTCAACTTTAGGCACTTTGTGAAATCCAAAAATCAAACTTTTTACTGAATGTAAAAATTGGATAGTAAACATAGTATTGAAAACGGCTGTATTCTTACAGGTAAAGTTGATCTCCAAACAGTCCTCGGGATGCTGCTGGTAATTGTTGGGTTCTCCAGAGCACCAGTTGGTGTACGAAAACGCAGATCCATCACTCCACAACCACCGTCCATCCTGAAGAGAGAATATAAGAGTGCACTACTGTTGGCAGACTTCAGGAAGAAGCTTTAGTTCAGATTTGAAGTCAAAACATCTTCATTAGCAACGTGATCTCATGAGAATACGTATGTATGTGTACGTAAAGTGTCGTTCTATCATACGTATATATAATTACGTTTTATATGCGCAGAAACGTATAATACTGACGTATTTACAGTACTAAAACGTAAAATATTTACGTATTGACAGCACAAAAACGTAATTTATTTACGTATGAACAAATCCACCGACGTACACATTGTACGTATCACAATTTATGCATATTAATATCGTAGCATTATGTTTTGACTCTATTGCATCCCACTGTCTTATTAATGAAGTTTTCAGTCGCATTATTGATATAATACTCATAAATATTTACATTTTGCTCGTTTCGCCTGCATGGTGTTAAACAATACACTATAAAACCTTAAAAAATACATTCTTTAACGTTACTCGTTCAACCATTTTGTAATAGTTTATTTACCTTGAGACACATAAAGCGTTTTTTCCTATAAAACACAACAAAAATTCACAAAAGACATCAATTTTAATAGTTTGATGTAATCCAAATCTTTAGAATCCATAGTTGTTTGCAAGAAACAACTCCTAATTCAGCGATTTCAGCCTCTTATCCAGTCGTCGTGATCTCCATTCTCAGCAGCGACCGTAACGTTACATGTCAAACCCCCCGCTGGTGATGAATTCAAATTCAAATATTGCGCCCATACGTCATATTTTACGGCAGCGATATCAAACGTTCATTGGCTCTTCCCTGCTTCGTCACAGTTTGCGACATGAAGGACTGTAGACGGTTGGTTAGTTTAGTTTTGAATTTTGAAATGGAGAAGCGCGAACCAACCGAAGCCGGATTAACATTTTCATTAGTAATTTAATTTCTGCTCTGTACTTCATACAAAACTATTACAATACTGCAACTGCCAGAGAGAAGACTGCGACTGCAACGCTTCATCATGTGAACGGCTTTTGGTATCGGTTTTGACATTTTCGCAATAAATAAATTATTGTGATTATACTTGTCTGTTAGTTATGTTTTTCTTCATAATTGTAGTTTTTTACGTAGTTTTAAGGAATTGTTATGGTAGGTTTAGGGGTAGGAGTAGGTGGCTCAAAATATATTTTAATGCTATATTGTTAATAAAACTGCCCTTTCCCAACACCTGTCTGTTACGTTTTATCCTTTTTTATATTAAGTATAAAATGGGTATGTTTAGGTTTGGGATTAGGGTTACGGGATCTTACATTTATCTATAAAATAGTAAAAAGGGAAATTATCCAGATATCTTTATGATATAGAATATACGTAAATAGTTTACGTTTTGTAGCTGTAAAAACGTAATAATGTTACGTTTAAATGTTGCAGATACGTCTATATTATACGTTTCAGCATCTATCCAAACGTACTAAAAAGTACGTTTTCTATCTTTGCAAAAACGTAAAATAGCTACGTATTAACAATGAGACCAGGCTGTCATTAGAAACTTTGCCTTTACTTTTTAAAGCAACAATTGTAGTTTAGACAAACAAACAGGTCTCTTTAGGACACACAACTGAACTTACTTGAACAGCATCATGAGCACCAATCCAAGTACGTGTGGAAGGAGAAGGCAACAGACTCAGCAGGAAATCATTTTCCAGTTCATTACGCACAGATGCGAGATTCGCTCCAAGACTTTGACAGTTTTTCTAAAGAGAAAATCAATTTTAGCAGAACACAAGTGACAACATTTTAGACATTTGCAAGAAAAGTTTGCTCTGATTTACTCAGTATTCTGTGTCAGTTATTTGCAGAAAAGAAAGTTCACTTTACAAAATAACACTCACTTTATAGGAAGGGTTTTATTAATCACTAGGATTTACCTGTTATTAGCAAGTAAAATCTAATTTCTAAAGGACACCTGAACTCCAATACACAGTGACTTCAACATTCAATAGATCGTTTGAGAGATTGTGTTCATTTGAATAGAAATTAGCCCAGATTTCACATAATGGCAAGTTACTAAACTAAACTGCAAAAGCAATGAAAGAGGGGAAGGATTCACACCCCAGTGCATGATGGGAACACAAGCATTATAAAAGTGGATTAAGTTTGATCTTAAATTTTCTACACAACTAAACTGAGCTCTAGATCAAATTTCTTTGTATCGTAACTTCTTGCCTGAACTAACTCTTCCTTTTAGAGATTACATTAGTTTTTTCCTGTATTTAATTATCAGCTTAAATTAATCTGACAATGCAGTTACACGTCTTTACATCAGTGTTTTAGATGTGCTTAAAGACACCTAATATAAAGTGTGTCAATCCTCTTGTGTGAACACATTACCTCCGCTGTGATCCAGTTACTCGCATCAGAAAAGTACTTGTAGCATCCGAGTCCAAATGTCCTCCATTCAGCAGGGCATCTTCCGGCATTTGTGTGATCATCTTCTGAAAACACCATAAACCCCTTATTCATCATGCAAACACTAATCAATGGAATATTGTACATTTCCAAGAGGTTTAAATAGCAAGGGTTTTTACAAATAAATGTGTTGGTTACCTTCTGTACTATTCCCCATGGAGAAGATGATGAAAAGAAGCAGACAGCTTTTCAGCATTGCCATGATGAACCTGAAATTAATAAGCAGGAAAAGTTAAATGTCTGCATGCACTCATAAACGCCACACTGAGATCCTCAATGCGTTAAACACAATGTACAAAAACATTTATTCAGAACTCACTTTCAAATTGTTCCTCTCAGAGTCTCAATGAAAGATTTTGTGACGAGCAAGAACCTGTGAAACACTAAAACATTGTCACATCATATGAAGATGGGTAATATTTATACACATAATATCAGGCAATAACTGTCCCGGAGTCATCAGTAACACCTGCCGCACCATCAGCGCCCGATCACCCGACTCCGCCCATCCACTCGTCATCACCAGAGGACTGACTCACCACACCTGCACGCGCTCATTTGACAATTCAACATTTGACTTATGAACGCCTCATGACTTTCTTATTCCTTTTAAAGAATATAATACTGTGCTTAATGCAACGTGTCCAAATATATTTATATTTTTTAGTACCTGTTCGTTTTGCGGTGACGAAGATGAAACATTAAGACACTATGTATTCCTTGCAATTTGGTTCAGAAATTTTGGTCTTATATATTTTCCCCCATTCATGCACACTCCTTTAATTTGAAAGGTATTATTTGTTATTATACTGATTCCCACACATCCAAAGAATACATTTTGAATTTTTTTTATTTTATTTGGCAAATTTTTCATCCATGAACAGAAATTTATGAGATCACTTTCTATTTTCTCACATTTTTTGGTTGAAGTAGACTCACTGCTTAAATCTTTTAATTTAACTAGCAATAAAAAATGCAATAGATTCCTGAACATATATGAAAAAATATTTTGTAATGGATCTGATAGTCAGGATTAAACAGCTTTATATCATACAGTACATTGTTTATTTTATTTGTATTAGCCTATTATAATTATTATTTTTTAATGTTTTATAGATAATTATTTTTATGGCACTTGATTTGGAATTATTCTGTATAATTTGTCTTTGTTTTACCTCTTTTATGTTCTCCTGAATATATTTGTATATTTACATGTTTCTTCAAAAAATAAATAAATAAATAAATAAATAAATAAATAAAAAACCTGCACCCGCTCATCAGCACCACCTCCAGACGGTGTAATGGTCAAACCCCTAATCTTTGAAAAACGTCTGGCATTTTTAGTTGATCAGAGAATAATCAATCAGGCTAGGTTGCAAGGAAGAATTAGGAGGTCCACAGAAAATGTCAGGAGAAAAAGTTGCTTTGCACTAATATTTGTGAAAGATGTATTCATTGTATTCAAATACATTTGAATTATTAATGATTATTTAAAATTAGCAGTAGACTATAGTATTTTCCAGGTATTATTTTAATTAGGCCTATTTGTAGATTACAACATAATCATACATTTTAAATGTGTTATGTTTAACGTTTCAAACAAATGTATAACATCACTCTCGCTATTTTTCTACATAAATAAACCCTAAACAATATATATATTTAATTTTAATATTTCAATATATTTTAATATTTCACCGTTTCCAAAGACGCTTGAAAAAACCTGCAAAACTAAAACTGTGCAATACCTGGACAAAAGCTGTTTACTAAACACCTACTGATTTGATTTAGTTAACTGTTAAAAGTTAATAACAGTTAATAATAGTTAACTAATAAAAGTGAATTGATAAAATAAAATCTATTTATGATTATGACATTATTTTTGAAAACATTCTCATTTACAGCATTTTTACACAAGTGCTTTTTCACAGCTTTGCAGGCAGGCACTACCTTCGAGACCTTCGTTGCCGCAGTTCTTCTGGTCTTAGTCTCTGTTTTTTCTGTTTCTTCATATAATTTCAGATGCACTCGATGATGGTGAGATCCGACCTCCGTGTGGAGCATTGGCTGTTGTCAGAATCATTGTGCATTCAAAAAGTTCACTGGATTATTACAATTAATGGCACAATTAATGTCTGGAAATGTAAGCTGATATTTCCTACTGAGACACTACAACAAAATATATAAATAACTGGCTTAAAACCATTTATTTGAGGCGATAATACTAGTGTGCCTAAAAGACTTCTGCACAGTATATAGCTATACAGTCATGGTCAGAATTGATGGCCCCCCTGGTAAATATGATCAAAACTGGCTGTAAAAAATAAATCTGCATTGTTTATCCTTTTGTTCTTACATTAAAAAAAAATGCAAAATTCTAACCTTTCATTGAAGTAAATGAATTGAAAGTGGGGGTAAATCAAATTATAAAATAAATGTTTTTCTCCAAAACTCGTTGGCCACAACCACGGCCCATTATAAGATTTCTAGCAGAAGGCGACAGGTTTTGATTTTTTATCTGTCGATATTTGATAGAATCCACAATGCCATGTATCTGAACAAGAAGTCCAGGACCTCCCGCAGAAGTTCACTCTGACGCTGATGAACCCAAGATGCTTTGTGTACCTTGCCACTGCTATGATGTTATAAACTTCATTTTTGAGATCTTCGACATCCACATCATTTTTTCTTACATATCCAAGAATCAATTCACTTGCATGCACTAACTCACTGACATCACCCATATTTCAAAGACATTAAATTGGCAAAATAATTGTACAAGTGTAAAATGATCTGATGACCATGAACAAAGCAAATGTTTTTAATTGAATCAAAATAGGCCTTAACCAAAATCAATTCACTGCCTTGAAAAAAATATATAAATATTGATGCAGATCGCTCAATTACAATGTTCAACTTTATTAATCTTCGCGATACCATATAGATCTGGAGACATTATTGGAGCCTTATTGAAATTCAAACTGTGCTCCAGTAAGACCCTGCTGATATTGGAGATTACCTTTAACCCTAACATTTGTTCTGCTCATCTCCTTGGTTTTTCTATCTGCGGTCTATAATCAGATAGCAATGCCAGAATAGTGAATGAATTACTGATCTATATTTAAACAGGTTTAGAACATGATCTGATCTTGTTCATAATTTAGTTTGTCCAAATAATCTGATTTGTTTGCTTTCTCACAAAACAAAAAGGGCCCTGGATGAGTTCCATATATTGTTTATTATCCAGAAAACACCAATGAAAAACAAGCCAATGATGAAGCATGTGTGCAGTTTAAACCCCACCCCTGATGATCTCATTTAATGCCTTTCTAATAACCAGATTCTCAAACTCTTTGCAACACAATATACTTCCATTTTTACATACAGAAACTTAATTCAATTTGGATTTTCAATGCTTTTATTAGAAGAGCGGCTCAGAGATGACATTGACAATTGATTAAAGTTTAGAGGAGATTTGATTTAACATTTGAAAATAGTATAAATGTAGTTCACATACGTCCCTGTAGAGTCACACAGTCACACATGTCTAACACACAAATATAGGATAATGAGACTGAACAGGACTCATCGTTCCAGCAACAGTCAGCTGTAAGGGGGAATAATGAAGTCAGTTATTCTGATCATTACAATTAAAATAAGACTGTTCAACTTTAGGCACTTTGTGAAATCCAAAAATCAAACTTTTTACTGAATGTAAAAATTGGATAGTAAACGTAGTATTGAAAACGGCTGTATTCTTACAGGTAAAGTTGATCTCCAAACAGTCCTCGGGATGCTGCTGGTAATTGTTGGGTTCTCCAGAGCACCAGTTGGTGTACGAAAACGCAGATCCATCACTCCACAACCACCGTCCATCCTGAAGAGAGAATATAAGAGTGCACTACTGTTGGCAGACTTCAGGAAGAAGCTTTAGTTCAGATTTGAAGTCAAAACATCTTCATTAGAAATTTGCCTTTACTTTTCAAAGCAACAATTGTAGTTTAGACAAACAAACAGGTCTCTTTAGGACACACAACTGAACTTACTTGAACAGCATCATGAGCACCAATCCAAGTACGTGTGGAAGGAGAAGGCAACAGACTCAGCAGGAAATCATTTTCCTGTTCATTACGCACAGATGCGAGATTCGCTCCAAGACTTTGACAGTTTTTCTAAAGAGAAAATCAATTTTAGCAGAACACGAGTGACAACATTTTAGACATTTGCAAGAAAAGTTTGCTCTGATTTACTCAGTACCAGTTTTCTGTGTCAGTTATTTGCAGAAAAGAAAGTTCACTTTACAAAATAACACTCACTTTATAGGAAGGGTTTTATTAATCACTAGGATTTACCTGTTATTAGCAAGTAAAATCTAATTTCTAAAGGACACCTGAACTCCAATACACAGTGACTTCAACATTCAATAGATCGTTTGAGAGATTGTGTTCATTTGAATAGAAATTAGCCCAAGATTTCACATAATGGCAAGTTACTAAACTAAACTGCAAAAGCAATGAAAGAGGGGAAGGATTCACGCCCCAGTGCATGATGGGAACACAAGCATTATAAAAGTGGATTAAGTTTGATCTTAAATTTTCTACACAACTAAACTGAGCTCTAGATCAAATTTCTTTGTATCGTAACTTCTTGCCTGAACTAACTCTTCCTTTTAGAGATTACATTAGTTTTTTCCTGTATTTAATTATCAGTTTAAATTAATCTGACAATGCAGTTACACGTCTTTACATCTGTGTTTTAGATGTGCTTAAAGACACCTAATATAAAGTGCGTCAATCCTCTTGTGTGAACACATTACCTCTGCTGTGATCCAGTTACTCGCATCAGAAAAGTACTTGTAGCATCCGAGTCCAAATGTCCTCCATTCAGCAGGGCATCTTCCGGCATTTGTGTGATCATCTTCTGAAAACACCATAAACCCCTTATTCATCATGCAAATACTAATCAATGGAATATTGTACATTTCCAAGAGGTTTCTAAAAAGCAAGGGTTTTTACAAATAAATGTGTTGGTTACCTTCTGTACTATTCCCCATGGAGAAGATGATGAAAAGAAGCAGACAGCTTTTCAGCATTGCCATGATGAACCTGAAATTAATAAGCAGGAGAAGTTAAATGTCTGCATGCACTCATATGCGCCACACTGAGATCCTTAATGCATTTAAACACAATGTACAAAAACATTTAACATTTATTCAGAACTCACTTTTAAATTGTTCCTCTCAGAGTCTCAGTGAAAGATTTTGTGACGAGCCAGAACCTGTGAAACACTAAAACATTGTCACATCATATGAAAATGGGTAATATTTATACACATAATATCAGGCAATAACTGTCCCGGAGTCATCAGTAACACCTGCCGCACCATCAGCGCCCGATCACCCGACTCCGCCCATCCACTCGTCATCACCAGAGGACTGACTCACCACACCTGTCCTGCACCCGCTCATTTGACAATTCAACATTTGACATGGGTGATTCTCCAACTACAGGCACTTTTGTGTCCT